TTATTTCACAATACTTATAATCACTAAAAGCCATTAATTAAAAAATACAGAGTATATTATCTTTTACTCCGAATAATTAACAATATGAGACTCTGGTTTTTTTTTCTTATTCATCCTCATTAATTACGTTTCTATTTAGTATTGGTTTTCAAAGTAAAACCTATACATTAATGTATTATATTTGATTCGCGTTAGGAATTTCTATCATTCATAATCTACTCGTATTACATATTATATATATAAAATAAAATGTCTTGACTGACTGACTGATTCATTAGCAGACAGCCCATACCATTAAACGGATCGGGCTGAAATTTTGTACACAGATAGCTATTATATGACTTAATTAAACGCTAAAAAATTGTTGAAAATTCAACCCTTATGTGATAAAATAGAAGTCTTAAGATGTATTTGGTACAAATATTTTATTGTTGATATTGATTTATTTATGTATTTTTGTTTATTCGTGGGTTACCTTGGTGATATTGATGATAATTTGGTTGTCATGGAAAAGAAAACTATTTTATTATTACTGTTATTATTATTATCTTTACTATTATTTACACTATTATCTAACAATAGCAAAGGGAAAAGAGAAATAGCATTGCCGGGTCAACTAGTAATATTGTTATACTAAAACGATTGTCTGTATAGAAATTTAGCTTGTGTTCTAATCTCTAGAACATAGAATATTAGATATAAAACTTGATTAAGGCCACTCGCAAATAAAATATAACATTATAAATATTAAAATTACGTTCACCTGCATGGGACCCTGTATGGTGACCGTTGGCGCATAGGAGCACATTGGGTGTAAATTTAGGGGTTGCTATAATAATTTATGGCACACAGATTCGTGGGAAGTTATTCCTCTCACATTCACCTAGTGCTACAATAAACTTCATTACAATAATTTTTAATTTTTAAACAACTTCAGTTGTACACAAAACATAATTTCAAAGCCAACAGTTTAAAATAAGAATATAAAGTAAGATAATATAATTTTCTGTATGATTACTACTTAATATTTTGATAAAAATTAAAAGTATATTCACACTATATTGTTTTAATCGTGAATTCGTTATTTATTCGCAATGGAAAAAAATAAATATTTTATCCAAACCAATAAACTACAATAATTTACAAATGATTGATGAAATACTGAAATAAATTATTTAGGGAAACTTGAGGCACCTACTAATTTGAAGCCTGGGGATGCTAATTAATCTCTAGAACCCTCCTATACGCACTTATTCGTTTAAACATTTATGCATTTAAACCACCTCTCACCAACCAACGAATACGTATATGTAAATGGTAAATTCTGTGTACATTCGGTGTTCATTCGTACCGTTTTCAAAATTTCGCATTCAATAGCCTTTGCTTCCAAATCACGCATCATTCGATAGAAATCTGAATCACCAACTGCAAGAAGAGAACAAGTCCATTTTTATCAATTTCGATTTTATTATTATATTGTACTAAACAAACATAAAATAGTAAAATTAAAACTGGTGTATCGTTAACTGCAGAAAGGAGATAAATCCAATTTTCCAAACATTTTAAAATAACGTTTGGAAATTACAGAATACAAACTGTAATTTAAACACAAAATGTGTCTTTTTTAAGTAATCTAATACCTTTTAATTACACAATTCGATTCATACATTAGATGCTTCAAAATTAAAACTTTTATTTTCCATTTTTATAGTATTTTTTTTTGTAATTTTCGGTCATTTTGTTAGTTTAGTAAGGTTTACGCTTACCGGGTCGCCTGAGTTACGTTTTTTTTTTTTTTTTATTTAATATTGCTAAATTTCTGGACCACTAATTTAGTCTTAATTAAAATATTTCGTTATCAAACTCGTAAGCCCGCAGTAACCTCAATAAATATCCCATTTAATAAGTGTCTAGTTTAAAAAGTAGTTTTATCGACAGCATATAAGTATAGTTTATAAATGCGGGTCTTTAAGATTACATATTATGTTTACTAAACAAGTAGTTAATAATTAATAATATACATAATATAAAGAATTACTTTTAATGATATAATCATAATCATATACGGTATTATGGGGGGAAGGGAGAGTGTGTAGCTGCTCTTCCTACGGAATTTATTGTTGCAACCCTATACACTAAATTATTTACATATTAACATTTACGTGTCAAAGGTCTGGTTTGGAGTTTTAACCAAGTTCAAATCGAAATAAATAATCGATAAATATCACGATTTAAGATATTATACAGGTTCCTCATTCGAACATTATTTTTAATGGTTTTATAATAATGTTAATTTTTTTTTTCTGTTAACAACTTTATTGCCAGAAATCTTGCTTCGACTTTCAAGTGTAACATGTTTTCTGAAAGGAAATTTGATCTAGTTGATACTCGAGGAGATCATTTTTTTAAATATATAGGAAAAACCGGAAAAAAACGTAGGAAATTTTTTTGATTAAATCAATATTTCTAATAGAAAACATAATTTGCAAAAGCTAAAAACAATGAAATCGGTAAGGCAGTGCCACGGTATGCCATAAATATTTGCCTTTTTTTTTGATAATATTTTTTGGTTTTTCGCAATATGAAAACCCTTATGAAAATCCTGCTTAATGCACTAACAAAATAAAATTTCCTTTCAGAAAATGTACGCCTGGTACATCAGAGCATGATTTTTTTTGGAAAATTTGTTCACAAAAAAACACACATCATAGTAAAACTAATAGATCCCTTGCTAGGCTCCGAATCTAAATTGTTGAAATAAAATATAAAAAAGTATGCTATGTATATTTTGGTTATCATACTTATAATATAAAATTATAAGCAATACCTATGAATTATTCATATAATATGCATCTTCTAATAATCGTTATCAGTATTTTTTAATTTATTATCCACAGTAACTTTAAATTTTTAGATTTGGAGCGTAGTGAGGAATATTCTATTGGTTTTAATATGATGTGTGCTTTTTTTATTTATTTTTTTATATTTCTGTTTGTTAATATTTTTTCCACTAAAAACTTGCTCCGAATTATAATTATAATTTCTATAGTATATATACTATAGAAATTTATATGAAAGGTAATTTTCTCTAGTTGGTGCATTGTGGTCATTTTTTGATTTTCCATAGGATTTTCGAAATAATTGGGAATAACTCGAATAAAATCATAAGTAAAACAGCAAATCTTTACGTGGCGTTCCGGTTTAATTATTTGAAATTTCGCAAACAATGTTTTCTACCAGAAATTTTGCTCTAATTGAAAATAATATGTGGTTGATTTTGTTCCTTTTAATATATATTCACTAACAAAGAAAGTTGTTTTTTGATATTTAATGCATTTTACATACAAATTTGGGGAAATTAAAATAAGACGAAATATACGATTGTTTTCAAATTACGACGTAATGATTTCATTATATTAAATATGTACAGCTTATATTTACTACCATAAATATTGCTCCAATAGATAAACAATAAGAGATCTTTTTTGTTACAGTTTCAACCTTGTTTATGATTCAGATTTTTGAATTTTCCTGTAGTTTAGTAAAAAGTTAGGAAAACCCGAAAAAACACGTAAAATGAAAACTGACAAATTTACGGCGTTAAATAATAACTTCATTATTTTAAATTTTTACGCTTTCCATTTTCTACTATATATATATAATATAATACCAATATTTTTTAGAAATTTTATCGACCAATAAAACTGACTTTCCACCAAATATCGCATTAATTTCTGTGATTTTTGAACTTGTTATTTATGAGTCTCCTAAAAACAACATTTTCCAGGGACTTTTGGTCCTGGTGTGCAATGCTGACACTTGCCGAGACTTAAACATATTGACGAAAATCTTATATCTACTTTTTTTAGACGTGGTAAATTTAGAACATTTGAGCAATTTTTTTAATTATTTATAGAAGTTTTAATTTCGCAAGATTTTTACGTAATTTTTGTTTGATAGGTACTTTGTAGATAAATTGAAAGACTTAATAGAAATGTTTAAAAATTTGATAGAAGGATCATTATAAATTCTACTTAGTGTTCAAAAAAAAAAAAAAATTAGTTTAATGCAGCATTTTTTTTTTTTACATAAGTTTTAAAATCAAATTTAGACAACGTTTTTTAAATTTTACGGCCCTCCAAAACATGTACAACCGAACTTCATCCCGAATCGTTTTTCGTGATCAATGGTTTATTGTTGGTTACAGGCATAAATTAAATAATTTTGTGTATCCCACCTTTCTCACTATCCACCTTTAATTGTGGCCACACCCGTCTCTACAATCAGCTATTTTTTAGACTCTGAGTGAGTGAAGAAACTTATGGTTTTTCAAAGATTTTAATTGTGGACAACTTTTCTACCAGAAATCTTGTTCCGATTAACAATGAGAGCAATTTTTTGTTTTAAAACGATAATTGTCGTTCGTGTGCTATTATCAATTTATTTCCATGCGTGTAGACAAAACAATTATAGCCGTCGATATTCTTATCGTCTAGAATATTAAAGTGCATCCGACCGTTTTCGAGGCGTCGTATGATAATATTTTCGTGCGATAAATAAATCGTACGATGAAAATATCGGTCCTTGGTATAATATAAGCTTAATCTATAAACTATAAGCCATTAACTTTCAAATAGCGGACGTTTTGCCGGGAACGGGGACGTTGTCTCTATTTATGTATAGGGAAACCCCTAAATACTGGACATTCTAAATATCTGATGCTTTTATGACATTTTAATTTTCGATATTGATGATTTTTATCGTAAATTAATAATTATAAATTGTGGAATACCTAAATAAAAGTCTACACTATTAAGTTATCTTATATTACCATTATACATAACTATGCTGTAGGTACCTATATTATAGGTATTTTATCTCGTCCGTTCAATCGTTGAAATATTATCACGTCGACGTATTGTTATGACTGTATGCGTTGTCCTGTTCGTATTTAGTTGAGTTTGTGATGCCAATATGGGAACGTTCAATGCAGTACGCCATGAAAAATCCCTCTAAATAGCGGACACCTCTGAATAGCGGACGAAATGTCTGCGACCAGAAGTGTCCGGTGTTTAGAGGGTTCACTATATAGTATACACCTATATGTGTTATATTATTATACCGTCAGCTCACGTAGACATTTAGAAGATAATTCGTGAAATGTTCGCTCAAGTGTCAACTACTAATCTACGAGTTGCTGTTATTAAACGTAATATTTTCTAATATTAAATTATAGTCATTAATATTATTTGATAAGTATTGTTAGATTTAGCCATCAGAGTTTAAATAATGCTATTAGCATTATAAATATTACGCGCGGTATTTGGTATTTCATACACGATTAGATATGAAACATTTGCGTTTCGATGTATTTATATTACAAAATAGTTTGCGAAACTTAAAGCTTTTGTGAAATAATTACTCAAAATGAAAAAAGACGGACATACTTCGCACCACATAGACCACTGTTGTAGGTGAAAAGTTGGGATGGTAGTAGAGGGGAAATGTAATGTATGTCATTACATTTACGCAACGATTTTTTTTTAATAATATTTATTTAATATTGTAAGTACCTAACTATTTTCTCGTTTTTCCAAATTTCGTTTATTTTTCTAGTAATTCAATTAATAATATTTGTTGTCACTTAAAATATCGAAAGAAAACTAACATTTTCCTTTTAAATATATTAGCGATGTTATTTATAGGCATTTTATGTTTGATAGTTTTGTACATAATTTTTATTTGTTATGTATTTTGTGAACAATTTAATATAGTTTAAATAAATTGTTTGATTAACCCTTTTCAGAAATGTCTAAAAATTTAACACGGGGTTCATTATAATTTATACTTAGTTGTCAAAGAAAAAAAAGTGGAGTGTAATGCAGTCATTTTAGATTAAGAGCATAGCGAGGAATCTATTGGTTTTACTATGATGTGTGTGTATTTTTTTTTCTTCCTGTGAACAACTTTTCTACCAAAAAACTTGATCCGAAGTATAATAATCCACCTTTTCTGAAATCTTATTTTCTCTAGCTGGTGCATTAAGGTGGTCATTTTTCGATTTTCCAATGGGTTTTCTAATTAATACGAAAAAACCCGACAAAAAAGTATAGGTAATACGGTAAATATTTATGGCGCGCCGCGACTTTACCGTTTTTATTGTTATTGTTATATTAACACGAAGTTTTTTACCATAAATATTACTGTGATAGATGTACGATAAAAGACCATTTTTGTTGCATATTTAATCTAGTTCATAATTAAGTGACTCGTTTTTTGATTTTCTATGTAGTTTTATTAAAAATTAGGAAAAAGCCAGAAAAAAACATAATATTAAAACTGACAAATTTAGGACATTTTATTATTATACATTTTTACGGCTTATGTTTTTCACCATAAATATTGCTCCAATCAAAAAATATTAAGATATCTATTTTTTTTTTAATTTGTAATCTAGTGGCTGAACAAGAAAATCGTTTTTAGATTTTTTTTTTTTTTTTGTAGTTTTTGTTATAATTGAAAAAAACCGAATAATATATGCAGATATAATAAGTGCAGGAAAATGTACAAAAATAATTATTTTATTATTTTCAATTTAGTTTTTTAATGTAATTTATTTTAATATATTCATAGAGACTTGAATTTTGACAGAAAACCTATATTTGCTTTTTATAGACGTACTAAAATTTTCAAAATAAATGATCCATTTTTGAGCTTTTTATAGACATTTTGATTTTGAAAACCATGTATTTAATATTTATTCGGTAGATTCTCTGTGGTAAAATTGATAGACTTAACAGAAATACTTCAAAATTTAACAGAAAATCATTAAATCTTACTTTGTGGTAAAAAAAAAGTTAAATTTTTTTTTTATAATGAAATTTTAATATCAAATTTTGACGAAAGAATTATGTGGAACAAATCTAATTTTTCAATTTATTTTTTTTTTTGCATATTTATATTACCTATTTAAGTAGGATGATGAAATCAGAATTAAGCGGATTGACTAAGTTTCTAAATTATAACTTTTTGCAGTTCTAATATTATGTGGATATTATATATCATGTTAAATAACTTCGTACTGTCCATTTTAAAGCATATTTGTCGTGATTGTCTAATGGTTATTTTATGACTATTATGATCCTAGGAATTCCGAGTTCAAAACAGTGTGATAAAAAAAATGTTCCAATGTATTAAGTGTGGTTAATTTTCTGAAAAGAAATTTTATCTCCATGATAATTTAGAGAAGTCGTTTGTTGATTTTTCAAGCGGTTTTCATAATATCCGAGAAAAACCGATATAAAATGTCGGAAAAATGGAAAATGTACGAAATGTAGGTATTATCATTGTAAATTGGAGTTAAATTTCCGGTGGAAAAGTTGTTCACAGAAGGAAAAAAAAAATTAAACGTCATTATCAAATCGATAACATTCCTCGCTCCACTCAGAATCTAAAAACTTAATTTAACGCCTGGACCCGGTCGTAATGCGTATTAACTTTCCTATACGCGTAGAATATCAAGTTTCTTGTCTCAGATTAAATGCACGATGCGACGTCTTAAAGATCTTAAATATCTATATATCATTTTTTCATATACCTACTTTATTATAAATCATAATATTATTCTGTCTGTAACTATATACTTGGGGGCCAAAGACGACGGCCGTGCAGGCAGTCCAAACACACGTGCCACACAATTAATAGGCCTGTCTATCCTGTTACTTGTACTGTCCTATACATATTAATATTTTTATTTTATAATTAAAAAAAAAAAAAAAACTAAAGAAATAATAAAGAAAAAAAAATTTCCACTGGTCCTATACGCGGGATGCGGAGAGACTTATCGCCAATGACAGTTGTCTATAGTACCCACACACTAATATAATTTTATACATGTATACGTATATAATAATATAATAGTACGCATGTATACGCGTTCCCGGGAAGAAGGAAGAAGAAAAAAAAAAAAATTAAAATTAAAACAGCTCCGCGCACGCACATCACGGCACTGTGTAGGCCTATATAAGTCGATTGATGGTACCGCATTTATTTTACTTCCACAAGCCAACTCCAGACGAACGCATATCTGAGAGAACCACGCACGGCACTCCGTCCATCTCTGAGCATTGCATAGAGAACCACCCGCGCCACTCGCCGATCTTTTAAAGTTTGAACATTAAACATTACAGGTACGTATGTCGTGTAGGTGTTCGGAACGCAATTGTTTTTTTTTGTTTTTGAAATACTAAAAAATAACATTTTTCAGAAACAACGGACATTATGACAACATATAGGTTTTGTTGACATTTTCTGACGAAATAAATTTCGTAATACGGTTTTTTTTTTTTTTTTTTTAAGACAAATAGTTGTATTCGGATACTTACTCCCTAATCGAAAATAATACTCGGCAAATATTATTATTATTTGATTTTTTTAACTGTGTTATTCAAGACGCGTTGTAGTTTTTTTGTATTAATTAATACAATAACGTATTTAGTTTTTATTTTTTTTTTTTTTTTTATAAACACGTAGAAAAAAAACACTTTCCTGCGGTTTAGCGTTTTTGAGGTTTATTTTAATTTTATTTCAACACGCTAAATAATATTTTCATTTTATTGAATTTTCAACACAGTTTATAATTTAAATGAAACTTTGTAACCTATTAAAACCAATCATTTTTAATTCAAATTTTTGTTTTTTATTTTAGCTAGCAAAAATGCCAAAATACGCAGTAACTCCAAAAAGCCGTGTTAACGAGGGCGCCGAGTAAGTATAATAATTTAGTGTTTAAAAAGATAGGTAGTCAATTCTTGTAGTACCTATAAGTATATAGGCTAATAATAGTTTGGGTAGCAATGTTAACACTGCAGATCCGTCACAGCTGCCGGTTAACCAAAAAATATTATTAATAACATTATGTCGGTAGAGCTAAATAAATTTTTGAGAATTCGAATTGAATGTCTTTTTTTTTGAGTCCTTTAGGTCTACGGATGTAATAATACAGAACGTATAACAATATAATTGTCGTGAAAATGTATTTAATATGTTTTATACATTTAATTATTAAAACCTATAAATGTAGGTACCCACCTATACGTTGTACAAATAACATACATTTTAATTTTTTGAAGTTTCATATAAAATTTTAATCCGCATAGGTCTAGGGTACACCCGATAAATTCTTGGCAACATAATTTTAGGATTGATGATATGCAATTTATAATCAAATATTTATATTATTATAATGATAATAATACTCGAGTACCTATGGGGACTAGAAAAAAAAAATATATACAATTTGTATTATTTTTTTAATTTTTACCATCCAAATTCAAAGAATTACTAATTTATACAATAATAATATAGTGAAAGAATAAAAATTATTTTATAATTTAGAGTAAATATTTAAGTATTTGGCTGTTATTTTAGGTATAAGGGGTATACGGTATCTTACGATAGATCGATTACCCTATACTCTCCTCTAACCCAAACTTAAAAGTGGAATATCTCGTAAACAGTTTGACAGAAATCAAACATTTCAGTACTAAAATTTATTTTAACTAATAATCCATCTATTTATGAAATTTTTAATATAGGTTGCCATTTAAAAATTAAAAGTTGGTAGTGGTTTTACCCACAAAAGTAAGGGTGACAAGAAATAACATAAATATAAAAATGTAGAGTTTCTTGTTTTTTAAAGTTGTGTAGAAAACTTTTAAAACCTCTAGAGTGTTTTTTTGATAGCAATGATTAATGTGTGATGATTGCAATGATTGCGTATAGATTTGCATTAAATTTCCCCTCTACCATCTTCCTAAATTTTCACCTACAATAGTAGTCCACCCATCGTGCAAAGTATGTCCGTTTATTTTTTAAACTTGAAAAGCATGAGTTTTAATATATTTGTCATAGGAGCAAAATTTAATCTTTATACTGATACATCTACTTATTTCTGGTGATTTAAACTTAACCTAATCAATTAAAAAAATTAAAAAATATAATTCTCGTTCTGATAAATTTAATAATTACATTAATTTCTTTGGCTTTTTAACAACAAGAACATAAAAAAAAAACATTCAAAATATACTTTAGGTATATTTCTATTACAAATTTTACAATATTATAGATATTTACCTATGTGAATCTAAAATTGTCGCAAACGTTAATAATAAAATTATAGGTTGACTTATCACAAATTATATTTTATAATTTAAAAAATATAATAAATTTTGTATATCAACATTTTTATAAAAAGTTGAAAACAATTTTTTATTATGTTGTAGTTATTTAATATATTATTATGAAAGTTGTACAAATTTAGGTATGTGCTTATTTCTTACTATAGGTATTCGCCAAAATAATGATATCAAACATCAGCAATTACAAATGCTTCTAGTAGGTTTCGAACTCAAAAAGTCAAAATAATGTAGAATTTTAATATAAGTGTGTCAACAGGGATAGGTTAAAGGTCGTTTCTAACTTTTTCTACAATTAAATCCGTATAAGAGACGATACTCTCTAAGCTGAATATGTGAAGCTCATGTGGTGATGACTGATACTATATATATGATATACTATATGATATATTATATATATATATATATGTGTGTGTGATATCTACATTTATCAAATGTGATTTAAAGTACTCACTAATTTATGCATTTGATTAACAAATATTGAACGAATTTGATTATAATTTTGTTATTTGTTTTTCTTAAATATAGTTTAGGTAGCGTCGAATTGGGCGTCTGCAATAATTCTACATCCAAAAATGACCTGGTGGATTATACCTATGATCCTTATGCTTCCCGAACTGTTCGGCTACCAACGTCGTAAGTATACCTAAACGAAAATTACCGAATCATTAACATTGCATAAAATTAACGATTTTATTGTCTGTTTAGGTTTTCAGAAACGTTAATACACTTGTTAAAGGCCAGTCTCGGTACTGGAATATTATCAATGCCTGTCGCATTTAAAAATTCCGGCTATGTAATCGGTATCTTGGGAACCATTGTAATTGGAATTTTATCCACGTATATGATTCATTTGTTGGTATGCGAAAAATGTAGCAAGAATAATTGACTTACACAATACTGCAGTAGAATTGTTTAAAATATTATACGTTTGTTTTTTAGATACAATCGTCTTACGAACTCTGTGTTAAAAAAAGAGTACCCAGTCTTACGTATTCTGAGACAGTGGCAGCAGCTTTTGAAGAAGGGCCATTATGTACTAGGTGGATGGCTTCGTATGCCAGGTATAGGTATACCAGCTATAGCTAGCTGGTCGTCACATCTATCACGATTAATTTAAATTTTCGCATATTATAATACGAATTACTTTTAAAATCATGTTCTAGAACCTTGACTGACTGGTTCCTCGTTGTATATCAAGTGGGGTCAAGTATAATTTACATCATCTTCATTGGACAGAACTTGCAAATGGTAATCGAGCAGTAATATAATTTTTTATAAAACTAATAAGCTTTTTATTGGAATAAAAATCCCTAGACAGCAAATCTTCAGTTTGAATATTTTATTAATTTTTATTCCCACCGTTGATTTTCCGAGTCGCCTAAAACAGGCTATCAATTTACATTTTTAATGAAAATTTTGAATTATCTAAGCACCCAAATATTATTTTTTTCGACTTCACATGTTTTGTAATGTCTCCATTTTAGTATAACTATAGAAAATATGAAATATTTTTTTCATTAACAATTAGAAGTGGGGTTCAAAAGAAAAAAAAATATATTTAAGTATCTCAGTGTTCCTAAATAATTTCCGAATTAATCTATACAGATGATTGTTAGGTTATGTACCGCCGATTTCTAACGATAATAATAATGTTTCAGGTGATCAATGCTTACTTTGAAGTGAATATTGAAGAAAAATGGTACCAGCTGTTTTTGTTTATCCCAATGGTTTTAATTTCTTTAATAAGAAGTTTAAAACATCTAGCTCCGTTTTCTTCAATTGCCACAGCATTCTCATTGATCAGTTTTATTTGTGTGTTCTATTATATTTTCCGGGAGCCGATGTCGATGGAAAACCGCGTAGCCGTCGGCTCCGGGAAGACTATGCCATTATTTTTCGGAACAGTTTTATTCGCAATGGAAGCAGTAGGTGTTGTAAGTATTAACTGTATTAAACCTCAGTATTACATTACGTTTCAAGATTAAATTTTGTCTGTAATCGTAATAATTACGTATTTTTATAACATACATATTCAGACTTTGCTCTGAATAGTAATGGTTTACTGTTGTGCATGGCTATAAATTAAATTTATGTATATCAACTTCCCACCTATAACAGCCGCACTTCAGTCCATAGTATTATTTGCTTATTTTTTTTAACCTTCCCATAATTTACACATTACATATCTACGACTTTCATTAATTTCAAAAAAATTGTGAAGCTTCAAGTGTACTTAAATCTAAGGTGTTAGGTACCATTTTTATGATTTATTTTAATTTTATGTACCTTCTTGTAATAATATAGAACACACATTTTCTCAATAATTAATAATTTTTCAATATACAATTTATTTATAGTTATCCATATTTCAACTTTAACTTATTTTTATTATTGCGTTTAGCAATTCATACCCACGTTAATAAGTAGAATACCAGTTATGACTACTGATTTATGTTGAAAATTTGCTTTATGTATTATGTCCACAATTCATCATTAAATTATAAATAGGTGTTCGAGAATATAGGGGTACCATGGTAGTGTTCTCATACTCTGTAAGAGAGCACAAATTTCCATATTGTGAGTTTTCTAGGACGCGAGAAGTTTTTAGTCAAAACGTATCCACCTTTTGTAAGTCGAGCAATAATACGAACAATCAATCACTACACAACAATCGACTCCCTAACAACAACATGGTTAACAATCAATTGGGAGCCACAGCACAATATCTATGTATGGCCCTATAAGACCATACCTATTGCCTATACATTTTGGGAATTGGAAATTTGTTGATTTTATTTGAAAATTTTATCTTCTATATTCTATAAACGCTCAAACATATATTTAATTCAACATATTTTTTTTAACATCTTTTGTGTTTTAGACCATAATCAATATAATCTATATGTGTTTTTAATTTATACTTGAAACAAAAACATCTGCCATATATATATATATATATTGTGTCACTATAGGTAATCTGGTAAACAGGTAGTCAGCTTTATTATTTTCATAAATGTTGTTATCTCTCTATTATTATTTTTATGAAATTCAAACATTATTTTAATATCTGTTATATCCAATTACGTTGGACTCAGGTTCCAGAATTTAATTATTGTTTTTGGAATGGTTTATTTATTTTATAATTGACTATAATATCAAACTAATTTTAATAATGATACCTAGTACCTATTTTAATAATAGCTAGTTTATTTTAAAATAATCAGTGAGTGAAACAGGACAATTGGTTGACACCCATAATTTTACATCTTCAGATCTTCATATGTATAAACATAAAAAAAAAAAATAATTTTGATAATAACTTATTCAATTTTATAGATACTGCCATTAGAAAACGAAATGGCACACCCTAGACGTTTTACCAGTATGTTTGGTGTTCTAAATATTTCATTTGTTCCTATAACAATTTTATATTGTGTTGTGGGGTTGTTTGGATACATCAAATATGGTGAAAATGTCAAAGATACTATAACGCTATCAATTCCAAAAAATGAAATGTAAGTATATTAAATCAAGATTGAAATTAAATATCAACATTTACTGGATAATAATATTATTTTGTGTTTTATTTTTAGGCTGTCTGGCGTCACCAAAATTCTTTTGTCAATTTCAATATACTTTGGATATGCTCTTTCCAATTATGTTGCATTCGATATTTTATGGAGTAAAATCAAAAATCTAATAGTTGATAATAGAATACCTAATATATATTTTGAATATATGCTTAGGATTGTAATTGTTTGCATAACATGTAAGTTTAACAGTAACAAATAATACAAATTTACTAGATAATTTTTCGAAGGATTTGCTGCCAAATAATTTCAACTAGCATTAAGTTAACTAAAATAAACTATTAAGAACTAGTAACGTCACATAAAATTGCATATAATTAATAATGGACAAGTAATGAATTCTACATTAAACAATTTAAAAATAATTTAAAAGCAATTATGGGTAATTTAGTATAGGTCACTATTTTAATTGGTAAGTTAAAAGAAATAGGATATTGGGAATATTGGGTTATTTATAGTATAAATACTAAATGTGAATAAATCATTAATAAACGAAAATGGAACCGGATTTTATTTTTTGTTTTTTTTTTTATTTTTTTTAACTACAATGGCTAATCCTAAATAGTTGATATGAAGGCGTAGGGGAAGAAGATTAATTTTTAACTACATAACAAATTTTATAAAAAAAAAACCAATAAAGTAATTTCTTTACCTATTCAATAGGGATAATAGAAATTAAAATTAAACTAGATACAGAACAAAGTAACAAATGATATTAAAACTGTAGTTATTACTACTCGAAAATGTTAGTAAACATCAGAGAATCTACATTCAGAATAAAAAAAATAAAATTTAGTATGTTATAAATTGAGACATTCTTATAAAAATTTTAATATATGACATCAATAACATTGTGTTACCCTTATATTAGGTATGTGATACAGATTTATAAGTCATTATTTCAATGTACATAAGTATTTAACTACACATATTATATCTTTATTTTATTTTGTTTTCAGTTTTATTGGCATTCACACTTCCATATTTGAATATTTTAATTTCATTGATGGGTTCATTGTGTTTGTCAGCTGTGGGCATAGCTATACCAGCAATTGTTAACTATCTTACATTCTTCAAAAGTTATGAGAAGGGTACCTGGAGATATTATCTTTTCATTGCCCGAAACCTTGTTATCGTTCTCATTGCAGTTTATGCTCTAGTAGTAGGCGTTTACCAAAATATATTGGAGATCATGGAAAAAGTGGCAAATTCAAAATGATAATAGTTAATATAATAGATAATATTAATACAAGTTTTTTATTTTAATATCATAAGTGTAATTTTCTATATTCAAAATATTCATTGTCATTAATATGACTCATATTTTTATATCTAAATTGTTAAATGTACATACTCTTGTATAGATTGTAATTTACTTTACGAAAAAAAAAATAGAAGTATACTCATAAAATATATTTTGAACACCATATTATTTATATAACGTTAATATTATGCACACCATTAATTATTATAATATTTATTATTTATTTATTATGTTATTATTTCAATAATTTTTATCAAATATGTATAATTATAATATTGTATATCTACTTTATTTTTTTTGTATAATATGAATTAATTGTTGTTGTATATTATATATATATTATTTATACATACATGTACATTGTACCTATTTTTTTGGTTTCTAAACATAGGAAATATAGGTCTAAATCCTTATATCCTCTCAATTAGTTATCAGCGCATACTTATGATAGGTATTATTTATTTATTTTAAATAGGTATAACAATAAGTTATGAAAGTTGTTTATTTATAGTAATAATAAAAATTAATTTGATCTGATATAATCCAATTGATTTTATTACAATATTTAAATTAATTAGGTTTCTAACATATATTCATATAAAAGTTACCAAATTATTTTAAGCTATATAATATGGGATTATAGTCTGTTGTTAATTTATTATTAAGTTTTGATACAGACAAGTTAAGTCACATTTAATATAGTTACAATGAAAATTAATTGGTAATAATGATATATTATAAATTGTATACGTTTTATGATTTTAAAGAGTTATGTCAATTTATAACATGCAGATTTAAAAATAAAGTACAATTTTCAAATATTCTTAAGTCATCAATCATTTCATAAATTTTTTTTAAACTTGATTATAAAAAGTTAAGTTTTGATAAAAATGACATATATATATCAATTTTCTAAAAAGTGAGTTTGAGTTAAGTAAACAAAAACATTTGTTTTAAAATAAATCAAATAAACTACCAATTTTTTAACTTAATCTATACAAAAAATTGAACTACAAATTAAATGCGAAATTCTCCATGCAATAATTTAATGTGAATAAAAATATTCATATCGACTATATGGATTCGAAATTAGGACGGAAAATTTATGTTTGCATTGTCTAGACGTGACAACATTTGCAACAAATGCAGTTAAGGTGTACCTAGAGACCCAGCTATTACTCGTTCAGACTATTTTAATCAAAAAGTATCCTTCGATTAGTTGTGCAAACTTTTCTATCAAAAATCTTGCTCCGATTTTTCAAGTGTAGCTTATTTTTTGAAAGGAAATTATTCTCCATAATTATTAAGAAATGTCGTTTTTTGATTTTTAAAGCGATTTTCAAAATATATGGATAAAGCCTTGATAAAATGTAAGAAAAACGTAAAATATACGAAATAGAGGTATGAGTAAAAACATATTATGACCTTTTTTTTTTGAACAACTTTTCTAGCAGCAAGTTTACTCTGATTCAAAATGATAGCACTTTTTCTAAAAGGAAATCTGACAGGGAAGGTACTTTAAAGAGGTCATTATACTATTTTTTCACTAGTTTTATTAAAATGTTTTTAATCATCCGTGTTTTCAACAAAAAAATTTAATTTTAACCTAACCTAACCTAACCAAATTTCCTATACGAAATCGTTTTAAATACCTAACGGGTAGATTTCAATAACTAAATAAACCTTCTCCGGATAACGTGAATCCATAACGCAAAGTTTCATGGCAATCGGATGAATGCTTTAGTAATTAATAAAGGACAAAAAGATATACATTCGTTTTTAAAACTATAATGGTAAACTATACACCAGGTGTCCTGCCCGCCATTGTTCGTGTCAAAAAAATATGTAATAAACACGTTTTCGAAAATAATGCTTTTAAAATTTAAAATTTTATTTTTGGTGTAATTTAGTTAAAAATATTTATAGAGAAATGAATTTTGTACAGAAAACTTATATTTATTTTCTAAACGTGGTAACATTTTTGAGCAGATTATAGACATTTTAATTTTGGGAGTTTTGTACGTAATTTTCCCCTCCCCATATTCAATTTTTGAAGACAATTCTGTATTCAAAATACTTTGACAAACTATTTATAAAATTTGTTTTGCTTACCAGTGTTATAGAAAGAACATTTACATAAAATTGTAGCTTTAAATAGTTATATTATAGTTATTAGCACAAACACACATAAATAAATTAATAATACAATAAATAAGGAATGTTAAAATTCAATATCGCTGGGTTGAATATAAAACTAAAATTGTTAATCAAATTATGTTAGATGACAATATTAATTAAATAATATTAAAACTATTTACGGATAAATAAAAGTCAGTACAAGATAAAACTAAATTTTAAAAATTCTGAACTATAAATAAATACAGTTTGATAAGAAGTAAAGACTAAACATATTAACATCACATATTTTGGGATGCAAATAAATAAATGGAAAAAAAAACCAGATAAAAAACTAAAATTACCAACACATTTTTTGAATGTTAACTGTTCATTCAGACACATCACTAATTTTAATAATAAACCTAATAACAGTTATATGTTTAAANCAATAAATAAGATATTTAATTGTATAATAAATTAATAATAATTAATAAATATAATATAATATAATAAATCTAATTTGAAATTCCGCTTACAAAAGATGGGTAGGTAAAAAAAAATAATAACACAAACATATTAAAAAGTACAAAGTTGCATAGCATTACAATTTTCTTTGGATACATTGTCATAGATCATTGGAAGTATAGTTTCCTGAGTTATTATATATATATAAATATAAATAAAAAACGACCAAATATATACATTTAGGTACATATTTGTTACAGACACATAGGTTACACTAAAATATGCAAATATAATTTTTATTAAAATTGTATATTAAAAACGTGATACATAACTAATTTATTATTATTATTAATGGTATTTACGTGAAAACTTTTGTGTTTTTGATGAATCATTTGAGAGTTATTGATCAAATTAATTAGTCGCGTATTTAGGATTTTGCCAAGGAGGGAGATATTTGATTTGAAAACTGTGTCATATTGTATAATGTGTACCCAGGCTAAACAAAGGATCAATTTTTAATTTATATATTTTTGTGAGTAATTGAAAATTCTCGGTATACCAAGATAAGTAATTATTATTAATTAATTTACTATTTATAGAAACTAAAATAATCTCCTTCCTATTTTAGTTGTTTGAATATAGATTTCGTTTAAACAAGAAAATGCACACATTCAGGTTTTTTTTTGATAAATCAACATTATAAACTATAAGTAATTACCGACAAATCAAATTTTTGATTTTTTTAATTTTTCTGACTAAAAAGTTAAGAAATTTCTACTAAGGATAGTAGATCATTACGATGTTTAAATAATGTCTTCAAGGGGGTGATATATCTTCCAATTCTCTCCCCTCCCTCCTAAATTCGCTACTGAACTTAATNATAATTAAATTAACCATTTTATGATAGTTTATTCGACTATGCTATCACACATCAATGCACATGAATTTGAACAATATAAATTGAAAAAGAGCGTGTATAAAAGAATTATTTTATAACATTTAAAAGCTACAAACTATTAAACTATGTTCTAAAAAGCAAAAACTGTAAAATATGCAAAATAAAATTTAGGATTTATGTTAGATCTACATTAAGAATATTGGCAAAAATATAGTTAAATGACCACCACTGCAAATACCTATTAATTAAAAATATATGACCATAAAAAACTAAGCCCCCAATAATTGTTTTCCGGTGGAACATAGATAGTAATATCAGTTGTAGTCACGTTCAGTCCTAACTTGTGTAAGTATTCCAAATGAATCATATACAAATGTGCAACCAATAACAAAAGCGTAGCTGTTAGAGTTACAGTCAGGGCATCGAATTGAGCAAAGTACAGTATTAGGTACATTTTTGAATATTTTTTTCAAAACGATTTTATATAATATTAAAGCGGTAGTGTTATGTTTTGACGTACCAATGTACTATAAATTAATATTTCATCCAAAATTAATTGTCCTTGTCTTCTCTCTAATAATTTTACTTCTATTATCAGTATATTGATATTTGTTATATTAAATAATTAAAATGGTTATTACAAAATTGTTTTTTTTTTGTCCAACTACTCGTCGCTGTTTACATTCAAAGACACGCAAAACTATAGCGGATGTAGTCTTGTTATGTTATTTTCGGAACATAGGCCTGAGGAACAACCTAAAAAGAAATGTAAAATTATATTATTATTACAATTAAGCGTTTATTTCAAGAATAATGGGCCCTACTGAGCATGCTCGTGTAGGGGCCCATATGGACTAAATTAAAATTTTTTTTTCTTAAAATTAGTAATTAAAGAATTATTGGAAGAGATACTTTACTATTAAATAATATAAAAATATGAGTAAATGAAAAACAACATGCTAAAAAAAAAAAAAAAATTTAAGGTACGAGAAACTACCAAGGGATAGCGGTTATTTGTAATTCATACTCTGCGTAAAAATGTGATATATTAGGAGAGTATATTTAATAATATTTAATAATTTTCACATTTTTACATTTTTTTTTTTAAGATTAAATTAAAAATACCCGAAAATCAACTAAAAAGTAAAATATAATTTAAAAATGACCCTAAAAATTAAAAAAAAAAAAAATACCAAATAAAAGTCTCATAAACTTATACTGTTGTTACATAATTCATATCATGTACTTAAAATGCTACGTTTTGCAATCAGAAAAAAAATGCACTTTTATAAAAATTCACAGCCCTTATTATAATGTATATGTGGCTCAGAATAAGTTTTTTTAGTGGGCCATCCCCAAAATTTAACACTGGATCCACCACTGGTTGCAAGTTGTTGTAAATTATTGGAAAATATTGTCCATACTGTCTGTTATACTGACCAAAATCTTGTCTTTAACTAGTTATAGGTGCCAATATACAGTAAATTCTCGATTATCAACGGAATTGGATAGTACGACAACCAAGGATAATCTAAAATAAAACGAAATAGGCCGAAAATTAACATAAAAATGCTTTGAATATGTTTTGCTTACAATTAACATTAAATTATTACATTATTATCAGTTACATTTTTAATTTCTTATAAAAGTATCATAATATATTAATCACCGTACATAATTTGTATTTCTTAAAATATCTAAGTTCCGTAGAAAACCGCGGATAATAGAGAATTTACTATATTATGAATCCCATAGGTTCTATAATACTTATTTGTATATTAATTTTCCTAAGGAAACAAATATTTTAAATCTTCTAAAAATACTAAGTAAACGTTTTATTTTGTGTATAAATAATAGTGACCCTCCTAGAGCCCAAAGATGTTATTAAAATTGATACAAATGGTAATATCTCCATATGTTTTGAATGATTTAACACCAACTGAAAGTAGTATTTCTTTACTTACATTAAGTCTTATGTGAATTCGAGTTGTTTTGTGTACAGAACAGTACAATTCTACAAAACAGTATTAATTTTTTACGGGCTTCAAAGATCAAATTTTCAATTTTAAAATATAAGATATTCCCATACAAGACAATGATTTAATCACTCATATAAAGTTCTCTAATATATAAATCTCGATTTTTAATTAATTAAAATTACCTCTTGATTTGTGCAAGTATATGGTCTCCAAAATGTGTTACTTCAATATTAAAGGAGTCATTTGGTGCTCGCAATGTATTGTACAAATTGAAAATCTGTAAATTGTAATTAAATTGTATACTGTTTTATTATGTGTTGTATAAAAATATGAGTTATATATTATACGAGTGCTTAAGTACATTAGAATATATATTATATTCTAATCATAGAGGCTCCCTCGTATTATTGACTCTTATATGAAACCCTCATATGTTGATGGAGCTTTGTTATAAGGGCGTATGCCATTAAAAATCAAAAACTACGTGTTTAGTATGAAAAAATCAAAAAAAATTAGGAGCTGTGTGAACTATTGAACTATTATGAAAAGTACTATCTAAGCAGTAGTATCGTATTAAAATTATATGATCGTTCTGTTTTATAGCGATGAAATTTTCACTATCCACGCCCATGTATATAGTCTATAGCGTCAATAAATTACATGCAGGTCAAGTTAAAATAATTATTTGAAAAGAATGACAATATAAGATTATTATAGGTAGTAATACGGTTGTGTACTCACACGAATATCCGACGAAGGTCATAGAACCATTGAAACAATAGTTCAATATCATGAGTAGAGCGCCATGAGAAACGTCTGTACCAGAGGTCGACAGGGTGAAAATCGGTACGTAACTATGACAACAGTATGAGATCGATATTCCTCTACCCGAACAAAATGCGATGTTCGACGGGCGTTGTCTTTTACAAAACAGCTGATATTTTTAAGTAAGCATATGGTTTGTTTGGTAAATTTAATTTTTACTAGGTGACCGTGATTTGGTAAATGCAGTTCACTGATTCTGTTCATTATAATTAATTATTTTTAAACGATTACAGATTTCAAAAATAAAATTTTTTAACCTCGTCAGTGTTGCCAAATATGTTGAAATTCCACAAGATCCGGAGGATTTAATTATCTACTTAGTGCGGGAATTTAATGATCTTTGAGTAATAGAATTTTTAGTGGTTTTGAAATACCCCGGTGTAATTTTGTGAACATTTTCTTATTAAAATCAACGTGGTTTAATAACTCGTTAAAATCCCTTATCATTCTCCATTAATTATTTTTTAAATTATAGAGTAGATATTTTAGGTTTTTTTTTTGCATTAATGATAGGTTAACTTTAGATTCTTAGTGGTCCGAGGAATCTGATGAGTTTATTTATTATTATTATTTTTTTTTTTTATCTGTAAATAACTTTTCCACCAGAAATTGTACCCTGATATTCACTTTCAATATCATTTTTAAAAATGTTTTTGATAGAATTATGTTTATTACTGTTTTTTGGCTACTACCTACATGGTACAAAATAGATATTATCTTCCCAATGGTTTCTATGGTGATTACGTACCTATATATAAAGAAAATATCTGGGAAAGAATCAGAATCATAAGATATTTTTTATAGTTATTCTTTAATTTTCGTGGATGCCAAATTTATCAATAAAGTAAGTAATTAAATATGTCATTATCACTTACATAAAGAAAATTGAACATCAAAATTGATGTTTAATTTTCTTTTTTGAGAATTGTAGTTACTATATTTACCTAAGTAAATATGTTAGTAGGTATTATAAAATTTGAGAAGTCAATAATTATTGAATAAATAATTGATGATTGAATTTTATATGATTATTAGCACTTCGTAATAATAATATAGGTTAGATTAGGTAACTGTTACTTAACCTAGTCTTATAAAATTATAAAATTAAATTACATAATTAAATAATGATGTAATAATATTATTATATGTTTGCTATTTAAAACTATATAGGTTGTTGAATCTAAGAAATTTTAAGTTTTTAAAATATGTACTTTAAACATGCCTAAAAGGGGGATTATAAGTCAAGTTCGTGTATTTTGGTACTAATTTTCTGGTATACTAAAATTATTAGCAAAATAATACAAAAACGAAACAAATTTTAATGACTACCTACTGCTGTAAATTATTCATATTCATCATGATAATATACATATTTGTCACTCTCTCAACTATAGGTATTTAAAATCAATTTAAAAAAAATCTCCTTTGCAGACAATAAGTATGTAGTGTATTGACCAGATTAATTTTAATTAAGTACATGTTGTAATTTTTTTTGGCGTTTTCCTGTATTGTTATTTTATTTGTCTTCAATATGCATTTTATAGGTACCTACGCACTGTAACAAAACTACAAAAAAAAAAAAAACAGCTCATAGATCATATATCTTTCATTTCATCTAAGCTATTATACTTGCTTTTTATATTATTGTTAACCCTCTTGTGGGGTGATTGGTTAAACTCCGAATAAAATAAGTCAATTAAGAGTTACTATAATACGTAAATTTTTGAAACAACTTTATAATTACCTAAGTTGTACGTGGTTTATTAACAATAACATAAAAAAATAAGTATGATAGATAAATTCTGATTCCACCAAAATGGTGAGCATAAAAAAAATAATATTTTAAACCTAACCATAAAAAAACGATTTTTGGAAATCAATAATTTTGAAGTTTTTTGATTGTAACTTTAAAGGGAAGAGTGACTATTATCAAAGTACCAAAAAACTAACTATCCAAAAATACAAATTTTGAGGGGAAAAAATTCCAAGCTACACTGCATTTATGCCTTTTTTATAAAAATAAATTAGGTTATTGATTTTATATAGGTATATGTATTATGTTTAAAATATAGGTACATATTTTAATTAATTATAATAACACACTAAATAGTACCTATATTAGTTTATTTAAATTAAAAAAATAATGTATTGTTGGTTTTATTTTTTTGCTTAAATTTAGAAAAATATAAATATGCAACAATGGTTTAAACATGAACACTTGTACTCTGATAGTTCAATATATCATACATCATTGGAAAGAATACCTTTTTTGAAAACTGAAACTGAGCTTACTTTGTTAAAAACGTTCACTGTTAAAGCAGAGACAAGACCTGGGCAAAAAGTTTGTGTATCCGGCAACTGTCCGATTTTAGGAAATTGGGAAATAAATGATGCGTTTGTGCTTACCAACATGAATTTGACATATACTGAAAATAAGTTCGTTAATAGGAACCTACAGTTTTTATTTATTTTTTAAATTATAAACTAATTAAAATAGTATAATTTCAAAATATAATGCACAGAAAAACAATGTTTTATAATAGATGGTATGAGGAACATTTAATGGGCGATTTAGATGAAGTATTCATCAAAATACAACACCTATATACATATATATATATTTTTATTTATGTATTCATTTTTTAATTTTATTTCAGTCAAAAATTTTACATATGGAGTGGAAAAGTACATTTGCCTACAGACAAAGAAATATTTTTTCGTTATTTTATTGCATATATTTTAGAGCCTGATGGTAATTATGTAAGACAAAAACATACTTTAATTCAATCATGGGAATCACACCAGATTCCTAGACCTATACAATTTATTGATGGTACGTTCAATTTTTTAATCATTATAAATAGAATCAAAGGTAAATATTATGAAAATAGACATTTAAATTATTTTAGGGAGTTCTAAATCAAGTAATGATAGTGTATCACATTGTGATATTTATGGTTTACGTGAAAAACAACAAATTAGCAAGGGGTTTTTGACTTCAGAGTGTGCTGTACAGTTTAAATTGTATAATAAACCTATTAAATTCTGGGCACCTAAATTGATGGAACATATTGTATGGAAAACTAAATTAAATTTTTATTATAGCAAAAGTAAAAGTACCATAATTATTCATTTTTTTCAGAATTTGATCAGTATAAAGATGACACCTGTACCTTTGTCTAAAGTATCAGATGATTATGAAGATAAATCTAGTGTCACTAATTTATCAATTGATAATTCAAATTCATTAACGGCTGAGGATATTCAACAAAATCTTGGGTGGCCATTTGTGGAATGTATGGTTAGTTTGAAAAACAACAAAACAATTTTAAATTTGCATAATTGAAGTGTTCGACATTTAGAATAGGTCATTTTTATATTTTTAAAATATTTCATAATTTTATTTTTTAGGATATCCCTGGTGGTTATAAACTGCAACTTCAAAAACAGTTTGGAACCATGATAACAGAAAACGGATTTCATTTATTTCAAACGAGAATTCATAATTTTGGTTATATTGTGAGATAAATTGATTAAAAATTAATTATTTGAAGTTTATAATTATTTTAATTTACTGATATATTTTCAGGGATATGTTTTTAATATTTATGTTCACAATGAATCTTCTCAAAAACCTCCTTATTATATTGGATCTACGTACATTCTACCAAGTAATATGAAATATAGTAATGGAGTAATTATGTGTCCTATCACAAGTGTTCGTCAACAGCCATTAGGAGAACTTGAAAGTGAAGAGTTCCAAAGTTTTAATTTATATTGTAATTTAAAATATGAATTTTTTTTTTAAATTCCAGTTCATTATTTAATTATAAAACCAACCAAGGATATCCACTGCAATTTAGAAAAAATCAAAATTACGGATTGGAAAAGTTCCCAAGTGACATTGGATATTGGTCATAGAGGCTTAGGCTCATCTTTTAAACAATTATTGCCAGAGTGAGTTTGAACTTAATGATTTTATCAATTTCAATAATAATAATAATTTATTGTTATAAAACGGGCGTGAACCTAATTGAACAAATATACAATAAAAACAATAGGCTTTACACACGGTTATAAGTGATTGGATGTAACATTAATACTGTTAAAATTATAAATAATGTAATAATAATATAAGATAAATTCGATAGAAGATAATATAATAGATATCAACAATAATTAACATGCGATTTAATTATTTTAGATACATCATCAAGAAAAAATTCAAAGTTAGGTATTTTTTGCATAATAACATTGCTCTGGAAAAAGGTGAATTTTTAGCAGAGTTATTATGAGAGGAGGAGTAGAAAAGAGTGGGTATCTGGGATGGTGTGAGGGAACATTAAAGTGAATGTGTTCAAGTAAATAAGGAGAATTTATAAGGCCATTAATGAGGTTATAAGCAAAAGATATATCCACCGATTCCCATTTAGAAGCCTGTGTGGAAAATAAGAATGTAAACGGATAGATTAATATTTGAGGAACCGATTTTAAATTCTTTCGATTGAATCACTTTCTAATTTAGTATATGGGCTTCGAATAATAGAATCGTATTCTAAAATAGACCTTACAAGAGCCATGTGAAGGGTTTTAAAAGATCTAGGATCTGAAAACATAGAAGAGTGAAATTTAATAAAACCTAATGTTTTTGAAGATTTCTTCACGATAACAACATGTGTTCATAAAAACATAAATCATATGAAAAAATTACACCAAGGTCTTTAACAGAAGAAAATGAGTCGAGTACGTTGTTATTGATACTATAAGTACATGTGATTGGGTTGAGTATTTTATAAAAGCTCATTGAGTTACACTTAGATATATTTAAGTTCATTGTAAGTTCAAATTCAATTAATCAAAATATCAAGTTCGTTTTGTAAAATGATACAATCGTCGATTGAAGACACTCTTGTAAATAATTTTAAGTCATTGGAAAATAATAGAAATTGAGGCTTTTTAAGAATAGATGAAATATCATTTATAAAAATAAAAAATAAGAGGGGTGGCAAATGATCGTTCCTCAAATACTTAGTTTTTAAAATACATTGTCAGTTGGAATTATGAATGCAAATTAAAAATAATAATGTATTAACTACTAATTACTTAATCATATTATGGTAAATTTATCATGGGTATGTTTAATATTTTTATGATAAAAAAAAGATGAATATACTTTCCACGTGGATGCAGCCACTGTTGTAGGTGGGAAGTTTGGAAGGTTGTTTATTATAAGGAAAATGTGTGTATATCTGTAAGCTACAACAAATCATTGTTAGAGAAAAAAAAATTATGAGCGGAGTTCAGTTGATAATGATGTTTTGTCGAGAATATATAGATCATATTAAAGTATAATGTATAATATTGAATACAACTAATAAGTAACTACCCAGTAAACACATAGATTTTGTGCAAGCAGTAAAAATATTTAGCTATTCTACAATTTTATGTTTGTGATTGATTTATAATAAAATAAATAAATTATAAATTAATAAATAAAATAATAATAAAATAAATAATAAATTACATCAAACAAATCACGAGATATTGATTGTAACTAGTTTTAATGTGTACTTCAATTGGTTTACAATTACTTAGCCAATTGTTTCTTCAATTTTTTAAAATATTTTGTTTGGTAATTTGGTGAAATATCATTATCAAATTAATTTTATATAATGTAGTTTAATTTGAAGTACTTATTTACCTATCTTTATAAACAATGTGGGTTTACATGACAACAATTATAGTTTAAAAAAGATTAAAATAATAAAAACTTAATAGTAACAAAAAAATAAATAAAAACGGTTGCCAATGACAACCTTATTTTTAATCTTTCAATCTTTTTTAACCTAAAGACTAAGGCACATTCATTCAGCTTCTTTATGTTTGTATTATGATTTCTTTAGTTGCTCTCATATTCGTGAAAATACAATAGCCTCATTAAAAGAAGCAGCAAATAAAGGAGCTGATTTTGTTGAGTTTGATATACAACTTACAAAAGATTTGGTGCCCATTATTTACCATGACTTTGAAGTTTCATTAGCTACAAAATCAAAAACTGATGTTTTGGCTGAAGATGTTGAAATTATTCAAGTTCCTTTGAAAGATTTTTCTTTGGAACAGTTACACAAATTAAAGGTAAATTCTAGGAAATATAATTTATATTAGTTGGTATCTACTTGAATGATAGTTATTTTACAGATTTATCAAATTAAAGAGCCCTTATTTTTATCCGAAAATTATCTTCTAAATGATGTTAGAAATGATTATCAACCTTTTCCAAAACTCGAGAAAGCATTTAGGGATGTTGATATAAATGTTGGATTTAATGTTGAATTGAAATGGTCCATGGAACTACTGGTAAATTATTTATAAACTCTACAACATAATAATATGATATGAATTCTATCTAGGGTGTAGCTAAACATTTCATCTGGGGGAGCAATTAATAATCAAAACATGTTAGGTGTTTTTTTTTTTTAAACTATATTTTTTATACATGTCAAATGTTTATTATTTTATTCATTAAAAGATATAAAAAAATAAATGCATAATTAATAGGGGTGAGATTTTGTCTCACACCAGATGTCCCAAAAAATTTCAAAAATGCCTTTAAAGAAATATAAAAATGACTTAAACAACTAAAAAAATGTATTACCTACAATAACGATTTTAAATTTTATTAAAAAGCTTAAAAAAAATTAAAAATAAATTTCAAGTGTATTTTATTATTAAAAATAAAAATAAAAAAAATCTCTTACTAAATGATATCATCGGATGTCGATTTTACAGATTTAAGATTTAGTGATTTTAAATATACCTTGTTAGTTTTATCATAGATGCTGCCACTACCTATGTTTAGACATTCTAACTATTATTTACCAATAATATAACAAGAATTACAAGTACATACTTTATGATTTGTTAAATTTATATAATAATCCGGTTTATGTGTAAACATTTTAAAATAAGATTTCAAATTCATATTTTGTAACTTTAAAAAATGTATTTAAAACCATGAATTTAATGAAAATAAAACTCGAATACGTCATTTTCACAAGAAGAAACTCTAAAAATCTAATAATATAATAAAAAGTTTTCTTTTTAGTTTTTTATCAAAACATAAAAATTAATAGAAATATAAATATTTTTAGTGGGTACCCCTATGAGTAATATACAAATAATAGAATTAATTATCTCTGGAGATATTACAATGAGTATATCTTCGTGGGACAATGATTAATTTTGGTTTTATGTTCGGTTGTATTGGTTTTATGATAATGTTATTCATTTTTTTTTTGTGAATAACTTTTTAACAGGAATTTTGATCCGATTTTTCAAGTAAGTATAGCACTTTTTCTCAAAGGGAATCTAACTGGGGTGTCACTCTAGGAAGGTCATTTTTTGATTTTCCTAGTTTTCCCAATACAAAAAAAACGAGAAATACAGAGTAAAAAAGGAAAATGTACAAAATTTATTATTTTCAAATTGTAAATAATATGGCCTCTTAAAACATGTATAAACGAACTCCGCTCAAAATCGTTTCTCATTAGCAAAGATTAATTATTGCCTACAGATATAAATTAAATCCTCCGCTATATCCTTTCCTTTCCTTACTTCTCACCTACGACAGTGGCCCACCCATTTTGGGAAGGATGTCTATTTGTATAACTTTATATATTTTTTTATATAAGTGCTATTAAAAAATTTTAAACTGACATGTGTTTATAGGATGGAACATTTGAACTTGATAATCCATTTGACATGAATTTATTTGTTGATATTATACTTAAAACCACATTTGAAAATGCAGGGTTACGAAGTATTGTGTATTCTTGTTTTCATCCTGATGTCTGTATTATGTAAGTTATAATGAAAATAAGTGTCTTCATTTTTCAACTATCGTTCAAAAATAAATTATTTCAGAATAAATCATATTTATAGCAGTACCTATTTTTAGAAAGGAATTAAAAATAATTATTCAAAGTAAAATTGTATTCATATTCATATCAATAGTAATAAAAATTAAAAACCAATCATAAATAATGAATTATACATATAGACGGTAAGATGTTAGATCAAACAAAATAATTTAATTTAATTACAAATTTTTATATTTTATTTAACGGATTTAAAAAATTCATAACTTCAAAGCATATCACAAAAACCATTAGCTCATGTAGGTAAAATCTCATGCAATTATATAGATTATGTAGATTATATCAATTATATAGATAATCTCACAGATATAATATTATGTATGGTATTTATAGGTTATGTGAATTAAAATGTATAATTTTAAATATTGTAATTAAAAATGATTGTATTACAATTGTAGGCTAAAAATGAAGCAAAATCGGTATCCTGTTCTGTTTTTAACTCAAGGAGTTACTGTTCGGTATCCTCCATATGCTGATCCTAGGTGTCATACAATACAAACAGCTGTTTATCATTCTTCCTGTCATGATTTATTAGTGAATATTATTTACATTTTTAAATAATAATATTATCATCTTCTTCTTTGTCTTCGATTTTTGTACAATACTATTTTATTTTTAGTTCATTTTGATAAGTTTTAAAAAAGGTTTGTGTTATATATTTACACAATAGTATAATGTAACTTAAATTACAAAAAAATACTGTCACTTTTTTTAAGTTATTATTTTTTTTTTTATTTTACATTTTTACAATATTGATAAAATACAATTCGTAAAATGTATATATTTATAATAAGTATTAGGGCTAATTTTATAATACATGGATATATATGTCTGGCTAGCAAATATTCATATTATATGATAATTTAGGGAGTAAACGTACACTCTGAGGATTTGTTACGAGATCAAACACAAATAAACATGGTAAAAGAGGCCGGACTTAAATTGTTTTGTTGGGGAGATGAGAACAATTGCAAAGAAGTAGTCTATAAATTAAAGTTACTTGGAGTAAATGCTGTTATATACGATAGGTAAATTTATTTTAATCAATTAATTAAATTATAAGTGCAAATTTATATAAAAATAGTTCTATTCCATAATTATGTATATTTTTTTGTAAATTCTGAGTGTAGTGACAAATGTACTGGATTTACAAAGATGTTTAGTTTTTTATGATGTGTACAAAAATTCTACTAGAAATTTTGCTCATATATGTGCTCTAATTCTGAAAGGAAATATTGTCCAAATAGTATTTTTTGAAGGTTATTTTATGATTTTCCAAATTGTTTTCATAATATCTGAGAAAAACCAGGATAAAACGTAAGAAAACAAGAAATTTACGAATATAATGATGTTTTTATTATTATTTCAATTTTGTAATTTGTTACAAGTCAATTAAAAATATTCATAGAGATATAAAATTTGGGCAGAATAGTTACATTTGCTTTTCTAGACATGGTAAAATAAAAAAAAAAATATAATAAATAATAGTTACTTGTATTCAGTAGTTACTGTGTGGTAAAATGGTTAGACTACACAGAAATGAGTGAAAATTTAACAGGTTCGTTAAAAATCTTACTTTGTGGTAAAAAAAAAACAATTGGGATTAATGTAGTATTTTTCTTTTTTATAGAGGAATTTTAATATCAAAATCGTTAAATAAAAAATTATGTGGAACAAATCTAAATTTTTCAATTTTTGGATTCTGAGTGGAGCGAAGAAGCTTATAATTTTACAGAGATGTTTATTTTCATTTTTATCTGTGCGTAATTTTTCTACTAGCTTGGATTTCTATGTATAGCATTTTTTCTGAAAGTAAATTGGCGTGGAAAGATACTTTCCACCTAAAGAGGTCATTTTTCGATTTTCTCAGGAGTTTTTCTAGAAAATATGAAATACCTTGATAAAACATGGGAAAACCGGGAAAAAACGTAGGGAAATTGGAAAAATCGCTACAACATTAAACAAATATTATTTAAGTAATGTATAAAGCCTATTTAACTATTTTACTATAAAATGACATATTAATTGTTGACAAAGCAACACTATCAACCGAACTCCGCTCAGAATCGTTTTTTCGAAGCAATGGTTTATTGTTCCTACAGGTTACATTAAATTATCTATAACAGTGGCTGCAACCGTCCCTATTATCTTAGGACGTCTTTTTTATTTTAAACATATTTTTTTATTGCCGATTTAAGAATAATAGTGGAGTCAGAATTGAGCTAACTGACTTAGATTCGAAATTTTAGCCTTTTGAAGTTCTGATATTATATGTTATGTTAAATTTTTTTCATGATTTAATGGTAATACATACTTATTGACATCCTAGGAACGCTACGTTAAACCCGTGTTTCGAAGCAAATTGTTGTGTATTTTTTCCCCTTTTACGTAAACAAGGAAAAAATGAATAGATTTTGGATGTACTGAGACTCCCAAGCTATCGCTCGCTCGGACTATTTTAATCGCAAAATACCCCTAGATTTGTTGTGCAAACTTTTCTACCAGAAATCTTGCTGCGATGTATCAAGTGTAGTAGATTTTCTAAAAGGAAATTATATCTCTGTGGTAATTTTTGGAAGATCATTTTTTTATAATTAAGCGGTTTTCAAAAAATCTGTGAAAAACTGAAGTAATGTCGGATAAACGGAAAATGTATGGAAATGTAAGGTATTAGTAAAAATATTATGGCATTTTTTTGTTCTGTGTACAACTTTTCTACCAGCAATTTTGTTCCGATTTAAAATAATAGAACTTTTCTTCAAAGATAATCCGATAGGGGGAGGTACTTTAGATAAGTAATTTTTGATTTACCCAAGAGTTTTCACATCAAATGTGAAAAACCGAGATAAAACATGGGAAAACCTGGAAAAACGTAGGAAATCTGGGAAAATTGGTACAATTTTAAACAAATATTATTTAATTATTTAATTATTTAATTACTTTATCATTATATATATATATATTGACAAAGCATTACTGTCAACTTCAGAACTGCATTCAGAATCGCTTATTCTTTAGAAATAGTTTATTGTTGCTTATAGATATAAATATACATTAAATTTCCGTCTATATCCTATCTTCTCAACATCTCACCTATTACAGTGGCTGCATCCACGTGCGAAGTATGTCTGTCGTTTTCATAGTAAGTATTGAATATCAAAATTGTATTTTCTTTAAAGATAATGACTATCGCAAAAATGTTTTACCAAAATAACAAAAAAAGTCGTCTTGGGATAATGTGGATGGTTATAGCCACTATCATAAGTAATTTAATGTATATCTGTTAATAACGACCAACGATTAACCAATGCTAACGAAAAAACGACTAAGCGGAATTTAATTGATAGTGATACTTTGTCAACAATTTATATGTCATGTTATAGTAAAATAATTAAATAGGCTTTATGTTTAAATGTTTTTCAATAATATTTCTTTATTTTTGTACCAATTTTCCCAGATTTCCTACGTTTTTCCAGGTTTTCCCATGTTTTATCTCGGTTTTTTAAATTTATCAAGAAAATCGAAAAAGACCTCTCTAAAGTACCTCGCTAGTGAAATTTCTTTTTAGGAATATTACTATGTAATGAACCAAAAAAGGAAGTAATTAGAGTATTTTCCTTTCAGAAAAATTGCTATCATTGTAAATCGAAGCAAAATTGCTGGTAGAAAAGTTGCTCCCAGAAAAAATAATAATTCGTAATATTTTACTTATATATTTCGTACGTTTTCCAGATTCCCTTTTTTTTTCGATTTTTCACAATTGATGAGAAAACTTCTGAGAAAATCGAAAAAGAACCTCTCTAAAGTACAATCTCAAGAAAATTTCTTTTTCAGAAACTGGTTTAAATCGTGTACATCTGAGTAAGCTTTCTGGTAGAAAAAGTGTTCACATATTTATAAAACCAATACAATTTTTGCTCCACTCAGAATTTAAAATTAAAAAAACCACACTGAAGCAGATATTGTTGTTTTCAGTTTATTTTGTATAAGTGAATTTTCTCTCATATTATCATAATTAATTAACTAAGATTCTAAAATTTTACACCGTAATTAGTTCACAATTATTTATTTATTTTATTTGCATGCAACTACATAGAGATTGTTTAATATATTAATCTACATTTTATAAAATTGTATAGTAGAAATAATAATTGTATTTCATAGATTGGAGAAAAATGAATTATTAAAAACAAAACTATCTTGTGCCATTCAAAAGTTGGAAATTTTTACCACTGAAAATTATTGCGATCAAAATAGAATAATTTTATCAAAAAATCAATCACTCAAAGAAGATCCGCATTTACGTGATAATGATGATAGAGTTCGTTGCTTAGTATACATTTTACTTATAATTTACTTAACTTTAATCTATTTGACTTTTTAAATTAGAAAATTTAAAAATTAAATTATTGTTAAAGTAATGTTGAAGCGCAATCATCAGTTCACCTATGTTTAAAATGGTTCTCTGTGTGCTATTTGCTTAGCATACAACCACTTCGTTAAAAAAATTATAAAATATATTTTTATTTTTTATGTTTTTTATAAAACTATACCAATCAAAACAATACCACCAATAATTTTAAATTTTTCAAACAAATAGAGTTGTTAAAAATTGAAAATTTTAAATATCATATTATGATATTCCTATTATTGTAAAAACTCATAATAGTAGACATATAGATGTTACCCTAGGCTAATCATTGATGTTTAACATTAATAATAATAATAAAAAAATATTTAACTTTCATTGTTTTTTAAATTAATTTTAATTCAGAATTTGTTTCTATATATGTAGGTAGGAGACAACAATAGATATTTTATAGATTTTGGAAAGGCAACTTTTCAAAATCAAAGTTCCTCAGCAGAAAATTTATTGAATAATTGCGTAATACCAGAGTCCATATCTTCACCCGAAGCACAAAAGTATAAACTAATTCATTAACTAAATTTATTTTATTTTGTACATTTTAATATATTTCTAAATAGATACAAATGCATTAATTAAACATTTGGACCAGATATCAAATCAATTGTTTTGGAAAAAGCAAAGTAAGTATATTAATAATATAAAAAATGCCCAAAGGAGTTAATCCAGATTAACAACCTTGTACAACTCAAATTTTGAGTCAATAACTCAACTTAAGCTAAATTATAAAACAATTTCAAATTTGTTTAGATTTTGAGCAGAACCAAACATATATTTAATATTTCTGTCGGACAATTTGTCCCAATCAAAAAATGTCAAAACACCCTTTCGGTTGCATTTTGGGTGAAATTGAAGTGAAATGAGTGCAGTTTTTTGGTTTTCCTTGTCGTTTTCTTTGTAATTTGGCAAAACCAAGAGAAACGGAAAAGTTTTAGGAAATTAGTTGCGTTATTTCATTTCATTTTTCTTTTCATGTATTAATGAATGAAATTTTTAGAACTAAAATTTGCATGAAATACTAGACTTATATTAGACTTTTCAGATTTTTAAGCTATGTTTAGGGATTTTACATTTTATAGTTTTTCTTTGGTACTATACTGGTAAAACTATTTGACCAAATAGAAATTTAACACAAGATTCTTTATGAGTTGTACTTACTGATAAAAACAAATGAGGGTGTAATGTAGATTTTTAGATTTGGAGCGTGTCAAAGGATCCATTGGTTTTACTATAGTATGCGCTTTTTATTTTTCGTGTTTGAACAACTTTTCGAATAGATAACTTGCTAAGATGAATCGAGAAAAATTTAATTGGTGCAGAGGAGGTCATTTTTTGATTTTCTAAGGTGTTTTCAAAATAATTGGAAAAAACAGGAAAACAAAGAATTGAAAAACTGCAAATATATATGGAACATTACAGGCATAACGGCATAATTCATTGTTTTTAATTTTTGAGAACTATGTTTCTACTAGAAATATTGTTTTAATCAAAAAATAACAAACATATGGCATTTATTATTTAAAATGTTTACGAATTATTTTTTCTACCAGAAATCTAGTCGGTGAGTACGAAAGTCGCTTTTAACTTAAACTTTAACTAAAAATATTTGGTGAGAGTGGACAGAAATATAGAATAGTGAATGATTGTAGCAGAGATGCGAATGCTTAGATAGATGAGTGGTGTAAGGGGAGGAAATAGGATAAGGAATGAGTACATAAGAGGTGTGGCTAAGTTTGAAGATTATTGGGGCTTGTTGTGAGGTGAAACGAATCAGGAACAGGAAGAATTTCAATGAAAATAGAATTAGGTGGAAAAAGGAAGAGAGGAAGACTAAAAAGGAGGGGGCTAGATAGGATTGAGAATGATATGAGAATGATAAGTGTCTGGTCAAACGATTTGGGGGATCGGGTAGAGTGGAATTATAGGACAAAGGTTGCCAACCCCAAATAGTTGGGATGAAGGCGAAGGAGGAAAAGAAAAAGTTCCTACCTTCCAAACTTCCAACCTATAACATTGGCACACCCATTAGCAGTATCAGATAAATTTTTTAATTGTATTACTAGAATTAGGATCCAATTGGGTAATTGGGTAATTATAATAATTTGTTAAACATTTTTAAAATCTATCTTATGTATAAATCTTAGAAGGATGTGATTACTTAAAAATATTTTGCTTGAAATCTCATGTATAAATTAACTTAATATTATGCCCTTTCGATTTTAAAATAAAAATCTGCAACAAAAATTTTCTTCATAATAATATATAAATTTAGAAAAATGTTCAATAGTTAAATAAAAAGATTGGTAAGGTTATCAGTTATTACTAACTAGCAGTCCCGACAATGCTTTGCTATTACTAAATAATAATGTAAATAATAGTACAGTAAAACGCCGATTTTCCGGACTAATTAGAATCCAAGAGGTGGGGATAATCAAATAATGATTAAAAGTGTATAAAATTCAAAAATCAATGTACTTTATTTATAACGTTTAGCCGATCGTGCACGGCGTTGCCCGTGACGAATTCAATGCTCGTGGATTTACCCCCTTTAAAATCCATTAAAAGTTAGCACTAAGCTACATATATTTTTAATACTGTTTTTTGGGTTGTTTTAGTCAAATAAAAACATAGCGTACACTTGGCATATTGTACTACGATAAAAAAATTAATACATTTTATTTACTTGTCGGAAAAAAAGGAAATTTTTTTATTTATTAACTTTTTTATCTTAATACTATCGGATAAACAATATTTTGAGATTTTCAGTAAAGTGTAAACGTCCTCATTCTCATTTTTTAAATTAGAATGAAAGACCAGTGTTATTGTGTGGACAATCTGTGCTACAAGCCATATTCACACCAATGCGATCAAAATAAAATAAATGTGACGAGCGAATTACACAAATAATGTTTTTAATTTATTTGCGAGTAACGCCACTTTTTGGTCAGATTATGAACAATTTATAGCTCTAAAAACAGTTTTAAAAAATAAATATAAAAATTTGGGAACATTTTTTAATGGGAAAAGTAGAAAATCGACTTCATTAATGGACCTTATGTACCTAATCCATTATTTTAGTGGTCTAAAATCATCTTCGCATTACTGATTTTCTATTGAAACCGGGTTTGGGCACATCAGTTGAATGATTTCAAAGTCTATAACGGATATAGGTAGAAACAATTTGTGTATTTTATAAAAATAGATTTGAAATCATTAAATAATGTAAAATTTAAAATTAGATACACTATTAATTATTATTTTTATTTTTTATTTCAGGTCTAATGTTTAACAGTTGTTTTTATTAAAAATATATTACTGACTTCCAGATATAATGTTAAATAATCAAACTTTAAAATGCATTTATGTATATCAAACGTTCAGTAAAGTAATGTAGGGAGTAATTTAAATACTAAATATATTGTAATAATATTTTATCCTATCATTGTAAAATAATAAAGAATCATGAGACACTCGATTTTAATCTTTTGAGGGTATTTATTTACAATGCTATCATATTTAGGTTGGGTGTCAGACTTGTGGCCATAATATTTCTGGATATGGTATTATATTATTATTATGTTATAATAAAGTGATTTTTGTTAAATTATAATTCATAACTATATTACTTATATGTTATTTATAAGTACTTAGTTTACTTAGTATTTATAATTGACGAATTAAGATTAATTCCCCTAATAATATTAATATTGAACGAATTATTCTTTCTTTAATATTTTAAGATAATATTGATCATTTAAATTCGTCTTTGGAATGAGTATAAAATAATATGATAATTGACTTGTTATTCACCACTGGGAGTAAGTCGTAATTTCTAACCTTATATCCTTGTGTGGGCTCTATCCTCGTGGAGAAAATACCACTTCGCCTCGTATACAATTGGATTTCGGCTTATGTGCAGTTGTGTAGGCTGCAGTATTTCCTACTGGTGCTTCGTCACTCTCAGTGGATCAAGTACCTTTCTCTGGATCTTGAACAACGGTGGACTATTCTAGGTCACGTGCAATGATCCTTAGCGTTCACTTATGCTGCTTACAGAATCTCTTCCTGGAACACAGTCACTCTCGGTGAATCCGATACTTTTTTAAATTTCGGATTTTTTTAAAGTTACGATTGTAAAAATAGCTATCTTTTACGGTAAAATAAAATATATATTTATTTGTTAATAATACCTTTGTTATTAAAATTATTTGTGTATAAATTATTAAATAAGACATAAGAGATTTGTATTAACTAAGACAAATTATGTTTATCTGATATCATATTCTATTAAAAAATAAAGACATTAAGGTTACATAATTCAATTATATATAATTACATGTTATTAATAAACCATTTCCTTAATGCAAAAACTTTTTAAAATGTACATTGTTTTGGATTATTGCTAATATTCTAAGTGGAACGAATAATGTATCGGTTATACAATGGCGTTATTTTAAGTTAAGTATTTAACACTTCGAAACTGTGTGCACTCAGATAACGAGTATTAATATTTAAATTATGGAAACAAAAGGTTAAATCATTAAAAAAAATTAAACACGAGTGACTAACTACTAAAAGTCAGACATAGCTATTTTCGAAAGAAGTTGGTGGTGCATAATTTATATATACGGGGTTCTTGAAAGAGTAGTGGTCTTGTCTTGGGATTTCTTGAACGGTCAAGACGTTTGAGTTCCTGTAAAAAAAAACCCCCGTTATATTTTGATTTAAATTCTGTATAAAAATAATTATGAGGATACCTAGTGTAAAAGTGCGACGACGGCAGTGTCATTTACAGACGTCTTACATCTCTATTTTTATTTGACTCGCATTAAAATGGGAACTAGGACGGTGAACCAACGGCCGATAAGCCGAAAACCGTGTCGATTGCCGGCGGCCGATGATTTGACAACCAAATTGTAAATTATTAAATATTATATTAACAATGTAATTTTTTTTATCATCATAAAATTTAAATCTAATTTTATTATTAAACGTATCTTGTCGTTCAGTTGATAATTTTCATTTATTATTCGCTTAAAGAGGTATACACTATGCAGGGTTTTGGAAAAAAAGAGGGAATGGCATTTTCTCGAATCTAGGATTTCTTCTATGGAATCTAAAAACAAATTAGCATACTTAACTAAATAATATGTATAATCGTTAGGTTTACATTGGCCGTTGTTGGTGAAAAGTTAAGAAGGTACGTTATAGATGTGAATTTAATGTACATCTGTACATAATGATTAACCATTGTTAACGAAAAACGATTCTGAATGGGATTCGGTTATATGTGTTTTGAAAGGTCCTACGTATACATGATTTTCGTAAAAATTTGATATTAAAATTCTTAAAAAAAAAACTTCATTAAATTCACCTTCTTCTTTTTGATTACAAAGCACGACTTATAATAAACCTTCCGTTAATTTTTCAAGTATTTCTGTTTTATTTAACAATTTTATCCACAGAGTATCTACTAAAAACAAATTACGTAAAAAATCAAATCGCAAAATTATAATGTCTATAAATAGTTCAAAATTAACTAAAATTTTTTGAAAATATTTCTACATCTAGTAAAGGCAAACATAATTTCCTGTTCAAATGTAGTCTATTTAAATGAATCGCAACAAAAAATAAAATTTGAAATAATACATTTTGTACATTTTCCAGTTTCTTTACTTTTTTTCCCAATTATGAAAACCACATGGAAAATCACTAAATGACCTTTATGTACCACCTAGATAAAATTTTCTTTCAGAAAAAGTACTACACTTGGAGCAACATTGGAGCAATATTTCTGGTTGAAAACTATTATTGTAAAACCAATACATTCCTCTCTCCGCTCAGAATCTAAAATATCTGTGAAAAAAAAAAAAATTATTATAAATACTTTGGCATTACAATAGGTAGTATCAAATATTTTATTTAAATCAACAATAGATTTGATACAATAATATAGATTCACTACCAGATTGACAAAATCGAATCATGTCATCTTCACAGTCAATATATAATATTCTAATGAAACCATTATGTGTAAATTCATATTAAATAACAAAAATACATTAAATATTATACTGATCATTAGGGCTGGGAATGAAATTAAACCCGTTGAAACCCTAAACACGCCCTAAAAATAAAAATAAATGCCTTATATTCTCATTATAACATATATAAAACGAATTGGGTTTTGATAGAACTATATATTGTCCTATATTTTTATAATATTAATATTGAGGACTGCCACGTATAGCGCAGGTGGCGATGGTTGTAACAATGGCGGAGAGGGGAGGAAATGCGGTGGAGGCGGACCACAGAGGTTTGAGAATAAAATTTAGATGACAGAAATAGGCCATTAAAAATGTTCAAATTTTTTTTTTTTATACGATCTCATTAGTACATGATTACTAGTGTAAATATAAAATTTAATTTAATAATATTTTTGAATTGGAGTCATAATTGGGTAAACTAGACAAATTGGTTTTTTTGTTATTTTGAAAATAAAATTGCCGATAGTTTATTAATTTTTTTTTTTTTTTTTTTTTTTTTGTTATTGAAATATATAAAAAAAAAAAAAAAATGCTTGATTGTTAAGTCACATATTAAGATAAATTTAAGTCTTAAACAACCGTTATGAATCATAAAAAATCGAACGTTTTGTGTTGTTTTTTTTTTCAAAAACTTCATTAAAAATTTAATCAATTTTACTCTATACCTAATATATGCATTTTGTATATAAAGTTTTCAGCTATAAGAATACTTAATTTTTTATTGCGTCCCGTCGCATCTGCAACGCACAAAAATCATATTGTCATAAAAAAAATGGTGTTTTTTAAAATTTCAGAATTCGTATAGAAAATCAATTATCTCTGTACAATTTAATAACAAAATATGTAAAATTTGTATTTTAAAGTGCTAGATGTGACGAATGACATAATGATATAAAACCTATTCCTTATAGTGTAGACGAAGCTTTAACTTTTTTTGTTGATAATAATTTAACAAAACAACAACACATCAATATTCGGCTATCTGCGTAGAAAATAAATGCCGATATTTATCCTCTATAAGATATTTTTATAGTGGTCAAAGAATAATGTTATTCAGACAGTGATATCGTTACAAAAACTTGTTGTGAGGTCAAAATGCAAGATATTTTAAATCATGTGAATAAAAGATTTTTAACGTAACGTATTTTTCTATTGAAAATTGTTTTCACGCCAATTTTCTAGAAATTAAAATGGCTATTACTCAGAAACTGTTGATCCCCATAAAACATTACTTTTGTCAATTTCACGGTCTATGTCTGTCTTTGTAAAACCGTTCATTGTGAATAATCTCCAAAACGTCGGTTCGATACGAGTCTGTGCATTCCGGTGCTGGTCTGTGAATGTCAGTTCAGTGTAAATCATCCTTTATACCAGTGTTTCTCAACCTGTTTACTGTCACGACCCCTAAATGAATATTAAATTTTTTAGCAACCCTTATTAAATATAGTTATTAAACACTGTGACCCAATATTTTAAATTTTTGAAAACCTAAATAATTGATTGGCGACCCCCAAAGGGGTTGCACACCCCAGGTTGAGAAACACTGCTTTGTATGGCTGACGTCAGTCCGATCGGTGTCTCCACTGGTGTCAATTATTTTCTTTATTAGGTATCTATAGTGTGTATTATGTGGTTTGTAGCGTTCAAACAGTCGATTGGTATCAGTCTACGATGTCGTGTTTGTGAGATTCGAAAGAAAATAATTACATCAATTACCGAATAACAAAATAGTGTTTAATTTTAACAAAAATATTTAACTTAATGTAATATATCTGTATATTATAATATAATCAAGCGTAAATTTCTGACAAAATGAACAAGTGGTCGTGGTTGATGATTACTATCCTAGCTTTTATTAAAACGGTAGGTACCATATTTGAGTACGTATAACACATAAAAACCTACCAGTATTAGAAAAATGTATGTTCTTGCGAAACCTGGTATTTTTACTTTAAAAAAATGAATTTCTAATCTCCATTCACATAGTTTTCTTTTCTGTTTTTTGTTCACATAGTTTAATTAAATAATATTTAAAAAATTTAATTTAATAATATTTCAAAAATTTAACTAAACAATATTTAAAAAAAAAAATTAATTTCTGATCTCTATTCACATACTTTAATTTAGTAATATTTTAAAAACTATTTTCACATAAACATTGCGTTAGGAATAGTCTTTGAAAAATAAATATTATTGTCGTTGTTCAATTGATTGATTCGATTCTATAATATATTACACATCGTGCATGCAAAAAATCATTTCTCAAAAATAAGTAACATTAATATTTCATTATTTTCTATTATTTGTTTTTCTTAAATTATCAATTCTCAGAAATTTTCTTTTTTTCTATTTTTGTTGAATAATGCCTAATATGCACTAAGAGCTTTTTTTGTTTTGTTCAATATTATAAATATTATGTTTATCTGTTCTAAAAGTATTCTGTTTTATATATTTTAAATTTTTATTTTTCCAACAATTATAGAAATCATTAAAACATAATTCATTTTTAACCATGGGTGTTTTCACACCTTTTGCTTTTTAATTTTATTTTTATTTTCAAATACTTTAAATGTATATAGTTTAGATCTTAATTCAACAAATTCAGTCATTATTTGGTCATTAAGTTCATCCTTTGAATTTACCTGGGACTTTTTTATTTATTCCATATCTATTATTCTCAAGATAATCTGAAAAATCAAACTCATTTAAAAGTTGCTAATTGTCTTTTTTTTACATCTGTATAAAAGTCATCAGTTCTAATTTTTCCTATTTAAGAGTCTGTATCTGTGTATTATAATCTATTATTTTTCCATATTTTTTTTTTATTACATTATAGAACAAATCATACATCCGAATTACAGATAAATCTAAAATACACATACCTAAATAAATTGGTTATTTTAATTCAACTACAGTGTTTTTCATATGTACAGCTACTAAGTGTTTTGTAAAAATGGTTGCTCAATCAATATTTGGTTTAGCAATCCACTTTTCTATTTTTTCCTTGCCACTAATTAATTTTATATTTTTATGGTTTCTTATGTTCATGGTCCTATCAAATACACTGTTGTTCATTAACTTATAATAATCTTTTTTAAACTTATTGTCTTTTTTTACTCAAAGACTTGTGTTAAATTCTATGAATTGTTTCAATCAATCTTTTTGATCAAACTTAATTATTCTATGTATTTTCTCTAATTCTAAACCTAAACATAAATACAGCTTAGTATTGATATAATGTAGAATATAATTTTTATTATCATATAGAGTTATTGTGGCAATTTTTTATTATCATATACATTTTCAGTAGCCAATCTGAAGTGAAGCTCTTCAGGATATATCAAATCTACCTTAAAAACAACCTTTTTTCTATCCATCTTTTATTTTTAAAATGTTTTCTGTATTAAACCAATTAGGATTTTGTATCCATTTAAACATTTTATTCGGTAAATATTTACACATTACTCATCCATAGAGATTAAATGCATCCAAATCTAAGAAATATTATATTTGTGTTTGTTCTTTTCTTTTTTCTTTTTTGTATTTCTCTCCTATATATTTATTATTTGTGTTAGAATATCTAATACTAAATTGAGATAAACCTCCTCTTATTCACTGTTCAAATATTAAATACACATCAATATCTGTTAACCGTTCTAATTTTACACCTGTCTTTCTGAGCATAGTGTTCCAAGCAAACCCTGGAGTTGTATAATAATAGAAAGAATCTAACTCAGAATTTCTCTATGATTTTACATTATATCAGTAAGTAACATTAGATCGTTTTTGTTATAAAGTATATTAAACTCTCTCATATTCTTTATTTTGAATGTTTTTCATATTTTTAGGGCGTTTCCATATGCCTTTTTTGTAACATGTTCACCTATAAAAGAGCAGTGAAATTTATCTATAGGAGGTAGAGATTTTTCATTTTATTTTTCTAGAGTACTCCTGTATTCATAAGGATACACCAATTTTTCCTTTACTAAATCCAATTGTTCAGGATAATACTTAGATAACGCTTTAAACTAGTATGGTTTTAAAGTATTAGCTAATTTTTCTAAAGAACTAGATAAGAACTTGAAAGAATCAAGAAATCTTAATATTAAATGTTTAAATGCTAAAATGTATGCTTCTTAAATCAACTTTTTTAAAAATAGGTTTTCCTTTTTCATCTAAAACAGGGTTTTTAGTTATTGGAACTATTTTCTCATATCATACAATTTTTAAAAATTATATATAATTTTCTTCACTATATGCAATTGTTTTTATATTATCTTTATCAATATCAAACCCTTTTATGAATAAATGAGCGCCATAATCAGATAGATTGTGAAAAAATACTGGAATAAATCTAGATACTATATAATTTATATTTCATATAGAATAGCAAAGCCTCTAAATTTTCCTATTAAATGATCATATTATTTTATTTTTCTCATATTGTCTTCAAGACCTTTAATGAACACTTTTCTTTCTTTCTTATTATTCTCAATTTTCTCTTCATATATTTCAATTTTATTATTATATTCTTTACAATTATGAAAATATTGTGCATTTTCCCCTCCATGCATTTCCCAAGGAAATGCTGATTTTCCTTTCTTTTCAATAAACCAATATTTCATAACAACATTAAACATTTTGGATTGCCAATATTCCATAATTTCATTAAGTATTTACTGTCTTTTCTCAAGTATTAATGCTAAATCCATCAAAGATTTTTCACATGTATGACAGTTATTTTCTTATTCATATTGAGTTTCTTGTTCATTGATTTTTATTATAGGTTTTTTTACAATTAAATAATTTTTTTGCAATATAAAGAACTTCTTTTGTTATTTTGTTATAAACAATGTTTGCCACATCTTCATCTAAATATGTTACTAGATTACTGTTACTACTATTAATATTTCTAACATTAAAACAAAAACTAACAGGTAAATGGTTTTGATAAGTTTTTGTGTAAGAAGTTGCATCACAAGGTTGACATGTATAAATTTTAGAAAGCATACATTCAAAATTTGCGTAATTAGCAAAAGGAACTTTATAAGATTGATTATATTTTTCAAATTGATTAATGCGTTCAGAATATTTTGGTAATATTTCTTTAGCGCATTTATCATTCCTACAATACTCTTCATGATCTGTTAGACTTTTCTCAGTATAGAAGTGAGACAAACACTTGTTACATGAATATTTTGAAACACAATGTTTCGTTTTTGTGATCTAACAAATCTCCATACATTTTCAATCAAATAATAATTTTCTTTGCTTTTTTCTGTGAGGTAAAATAAGTTAATTTATGTTTCTTTTTGAATATCACATATTTGTAGAGGTACTATACTTTTATTATTACCATAAGTATACACATTAATAGAAATATTTACTCTTTTTTAAATTTAGTAATATCTTTTAATTTAACAGAAAATTTAATTTCTAAACTTTTAAATACCCATTAAATTTATTTTTCCATTCTTTTTATTGAAAACTCTTTTTTCGACTTTTATCACTGGGTGTAAACCAGCAAGAATTGATCAAAGATTATATTTATTATCTCTATTTTCAATGTTAATAATACCTTTTTTTCTAACTATCCAATCTGGTAGTTTAATATATGATGCTCCTCTAAGTGGATTTTATTTATACATATTTATAACTTTGTTAAACATTCAATCAGAACCCTTAGCTATAAATGCATCTTCTCGAGATTGAATTGTTTTTTTCACATTGTTATAAAATCATTGAAATCAGTGGAACTAAGGAAAGGTTCGCTTTCTGATCTAAAACCTCTATATAATTCCTCATTTGAAGGTTTTTTTTTTGGTGAATTTACAATTTACTATAATACTTATTTTAAAATTACCTATCTCTTTTAAATATTCTAACATTTTTTTTTTTTTCAAACTTTTTTGAATAATTTAAAGACCGATTGATATCTTTAAATTAATACGTATTTTCAACAATAAATGATAAAATTGTTTTTTTAAAAGCAGACCGATTTTCGTTAGTAATATCAATAATTTTTAAAGCAGAAGGTTTATCCCTCTCAAATAAACTATCATTCAATTTAGCGAATACCATATGTGTAAGAATTCTATATTCATAAAATCTTCTACTATGATCGATTATTCTAGTTAGTCTATTCTCAATAATATTTTTAGAAAATTTACAAAAAATTCTATGAAGTTTAAGTGCTCTCTCATTTCTAGTTCTTCATCACTAACCTCGAATTCAATTTTTGACTTAGATATTTCATTAGGGAATCTTTTAAGTAATACTTTTTCTCCCTTAACTTTGTTTACTTCAAACGGCATCACTCCAATTGTTTCATGAATATTTTTAAAACTATATTGGTTCAATCAATCTTGTAAAATATCAATCCATCTTTTATACTTTTGAATTTCATACTATAATCTCGTTTTACAATTTAAAGTTCTATTGAGACGTTCAATAATTACAGATTTCTCTTCGTTTTGTGTATGATATAGTTTTATATTGTATTTCTCTAACATTTCTTTAAACTGTTTATTTACAAACTCACTTCCTTTATCAGTGTAAAGTAATGTTGGAGAGTTATGTTTCTGTAGTATAGCTCTTTTTATTATTTCTTCAAAAGCTTTTGTAAAATTTGCCCATCTTTTTTTTTTAAGAGGTTCAGCCTAAACAAATTTTGAAAAAGTATCTATAACATTCAACATGTATAAATAAACTGAATTTTCATTAATATAATTTCTAATTATAACTAGGTCAACTCATAAATCATCAATACCATGAGTTTTTATTCTTCTTTTTTGAAATCGAGATCTTACTAATTTAAGAAGCTCTTTTGCAATACTTAGATTGTCTTACTTTGATATTTGTTTATATTATATTTTTTTCTCTGTTTCTTTTCCTCTGTTTCTCTACTATTCGTTGAGTATTAGTTAAAATACATTTTAGTGTTGAAATTCTTGATTTTTGTCTAGCCATTGATGAAATATTTTATTTTAAATTTAGGTTGGAGGAAAGTTGTAGTGGAGTATCATTTGTTACGACGCGCGGCGTGTTATTAATACACCACTACTCTCCTCTAACTAAAACTTAAAAATGGAAAATCTCGTCAATAGATTGATGGAATCAAAAAATTTCAACATTAAAATATATTTTAACTTATGCTCCATCTATTTATGGAATTTTCAATATAGGTTGCCATTTGTAAATCAAATGAATATACAATGTTTACCTCTAAAAATTTTTTGATTGGATCCAGATTTTTGATAGAAAAATTACTTGCAAAACACAAAATTATAAAAAAAACTATATAAATATATGTATATAAAATTAGTACAACCAATAGATCCTTATGCTCAGAATTTAAAATATGATAATAAATTAATGTTTTACAGATTCAATTGTCTAATTCAATAGCTGATGGGAACTTATTTGATTATAATTCAAACCAAGAAGAATTTTTACAGTACTTAAGGAAATATCAAGATATACAAAAACATACAAGTTTAGATAATCTAAGAAAATTCATTTCAAACATCAATTCAAGGTATGGATTTTTATCGATTTCTGTTTTTCAAAATCAATTTCTTGAGGTATTACTATAAATTCTAAATCCTAAGAATATAAAATTATTAGGTTGCAGTTAATAGTGGTTATAACAATTTATAATATTTTTTTAATATTAATTTTAATTAATCGTAAGTCATTTTTACTACCTCACTTGATGTGTGTTTCTTTCCGTGTTATTCTTTGGAAACTAACATTAAAACTTTTTAGAAAAAAAATTTTCTTTCATACCGTGTCAATATAACAAAACATTATTAATTTAATAAACCTTGTAGTTGTTAATATGGTTAAATTCCTATTGTATGGTATTCCATTTTTCAGTACAAACAAACAAACTAACACTACATCATTCACCTAGTGTAACAAGTATTGTAGTCTACTTCATTAATAAGTAGGTACCTACCTAACAAATGTATTGAGCTAATTAAAATTATCAATCCAAACTTAAGACTAAAATCAATATTACTTTGAGCCTAATTTTGCCAATTACTAACGTTGAGGATACTTAATTAAACAAGATTTGTTCATCAATTACCTATAATTATATTTAATATTTATAGTTAATATTTAATTATATTATAATTATTATAATATACATATAATGTAACTAAATTATTTATTGTTATTTTTTTAATTTTGAAGATATTAGTAGTTTCAGAATCAATAATTTCAGTATGGCCTGCCTCTTCTTGACTGACAGTGACAGGTCTTTTATTTTTAAAGTTTCATATTTTAGCTAGATAAAATATACAAGATAAATTCAATACCATACAATAGGTTGGTACTGTATGTTAATAGTTTAATGATTATATATAAAACTTTAATTTTTATAAATTACCTAATTATTATTAAAATAATAAAGTATAAACTTCTTATTAGTTATTACTTATTAGTAATAACTTATTACTATATTATTTAAGAAATGTAGGCATCGACGGCTATAGAATTTTTTTTTTTTTTGGTGCTGTTATGTTCACAGGAAAAAAGAAGGCCGTAATATATTATAACTTATACCTACAATTACTATATTTTCCAGTTTTCCTCAGTTTTTTTTCAGTTTTTCATATTTGATGAGAAAACTCTTGAGAAAACTGGGTCCATATGTATAATACACATTTTACAAATGTCAGCGAATCGATTTATTTATTTGATTTTATTTTTAATCAATTTCTGACTTAAGGCCTGTATTACAATTCTTGGTTTAATTCAAATTTAGCTTGTTGAGCAAAAATAAGAGTAAAAATATTTAACCAAAAAAAATTTGGGATTGCCATTTAAAAAAAAAAGTTGATATGCGCATGCGTGAAATGACATGGCATACAGATTGTTTAATTAATCAAATAAGTTATAAAAAGTTTTTTATGAAGCAAAAACAAACAGAATTCAAATATATTTAAAATTTGTTAAGTTATAGAGTGTTTCCAACAAACGATTACACACTGTATATAATAGATCTTAAACGCATTACTAAAATATCAATGTGAACATCCCAGCGGAGGTTTCTCTTCATAAAAAGACCAAATAATTACATAATATATAATAATTAGGGCTGTGAATTTGTAGGAAAATTCTTTTTTTTTTTAACTGATCGTAAAATATAGCTTTCTAAACACATAATTTGAATCATGTAATAACATAATCATTTATGAAACTGTTATTTTTAATTTTTTGACATTTTTAATTTTTAAGATCATTTTTGGACTTTTCAGTCATATTTTCCGTTTTACTTCAATTTCCGGTATTTTTAATGCAATTCCGTCAATTTACATCTTTACACGTATATTTTTCGTTTGACACATGCTATACATACGTCAATTTTATTTTATATTTTATATAAGCTGTATACAGGTTAAGTAATGATAAGGATTCGATAAAATAAGTTATTCAATATTCAAATAAAATAGCTTTAAACACACATTTTTTTATACCTTCTAATATCTTTTTTTATTTCTTTAAAATCTTATTTGTCGCAAGTTTTCTAAATAAAAATATAATTTTTTGCAACAGACATTTCCGATTTCAAATTATATATATAAATACATTTAACAAATTCTGAAATAATTTTCCATCATGGAGGGCGATTAATGGATTTCCACCATCGTTTGGAACTTTCTTCACCTCTATAAATTATTACCAGCAATTTGATACTTTAGAAATTACGCCCCTGTGATTTGAAGTTCAAAATCCCCTCTCTACAGAACTGGAATAGGTGTAACACGATTGTGCTTTTTTATTTTTTAATTAGTAAAATATTGCAAAACTATTGCGTTTCAAAAAATATAAAAATATGGTAAATATGTTTAAATAATGTGGCACTGCACATTTTTGCTTACCATATATACAACACAATTAATAACTATGCTAAAAATTGTTTTAAATAATATTTTATAAAAATACATATATTGAATTACGATCGTTATTTATGTATTAGTACATTTGTACACAAAAATATACTACTTAAAAAAATTAATACATGATCAAAATACTCAAATGAATGCAGTTAAAACACCGCGTACTAATCATCTTAAACAAATTCGTCATATTTTCTTAATAAATGTATGTTTCATAATATAAGACAAAATATTGAGAATATACAGCATAGATGTAGTATACCCATTGGTTATATCATGTGTTAATCATAATTAGAGCTGTGAATTTAATGCAGTGAAAAACATTAAAAATGCAATATAAAATGGTTTTTAATTTAATTTTTATATTTACTTTGATATTACTGATATCGATATTTCACAAGCCCACAAATAACTGGCAATATTGCCTTATTTGATAAAATCCTTATCTTTACCTAACCCATATACGGTTTGTGTAAAATATTTTATAAAATGTAAATCTAACGTATTTACAGACTGTGTAAAATAAAATGTAAAAGTTGTTAATTAACGGAATTTTATGAAAAAAAATACCGGAAAATGAACTAAAAAGGAAAATATGACTTAAAGAGTCCAAAAACTAACCTTTAAAATTAAAAACGTCAAAAAATGCAAAATAAAAGTTTCATAACTTAATTTGTCGTTACATAATTCAAATTATGTAATTCGAAATAATCTACGTTTCACAATTAGCTTAAAAAATGCACTTTTCTAGAAATTCATAGCCCTACTATCATGATCATGATTTTTAGCATATCCATCAATCGTGTTTCATATGTGACGGGTTCTGTTTTTACTGTAATATACTCTCGACTATGAAAACACGGACAATTTTGAGGGGACTAATAACAAGAGTATTTAGCCTGCCCCCAATTTTTCTTTCCCCCAGATTTCCTTTATATCATCATATCATTCAATTGTATTATAAAATATAACTTAAAGTTATGTATGAGACTCAAATTATCAATGTTAATATTTATAAATTAATGACAAAAACAGAGAACAATTAAAATGTGCCATACGTAATTAAATTTTTATTTTTAATATATAATTTGTGAATTCAATTTTCTTTGTACATTGAACTAATTCAAATTATATTATATGTTTAGTTTAAAACGTCTTAAGACTATTAAAGCTACAAGTTTAAAGGTTTTACCAATATCAAATACATCAACATCATTAGCCATTCCATGTTTAATTGAAAAAACAATGCCAATAGTTTCGTTCAATAAATTTACACCAGATTCACACGCAATTGATAAATGCTCAATGAACAGAAGTTTTTGTACTCAAATCGATAATTATCCAAGGTAAGGCCAAAATAAAATTATATATTTAACGGCAGGTAGTTACTAAATAGGTGTCTTCTACTAACTTTTAATTACATTAAAATTAAAATTGTTGTTTTTTATATTTTGCTTTTAGAGAAGACTTGCTTCGTATCTTCAAAAGTTTCAAATTTAGGTTGGCTACTAAAATCTGCAGCACAGATCCTATGAGTGAAGTATGTACTATACGTGGAATATAGATAATAATTATTGTATTATACATATAATAATATAACAACGACTTATAGTTTATAGCACTTAAAATCCACAAAAAAGTTCTTAAAAATGTCAACAAAAAAACTGATAAAAAACACTTGAAAAATATTTAATAAAAAAAAAAAAATGATAGAGGGGTTTATAATTTTCTCACTAATGGCTCTAACTTTTAAAATAACTTTTTCGTAGTGTTAAAAATTCTATTAAATAAGATGTAACCGTTAGAAAGGGTATTTTTGAACTCCTTTTTCTATTTTATTCTTTTAAATATTTTAAAGTGCTTTTTCATGATTTTTTTTTTTTTGATGATTTAAGCACTTTTTTTGGTGGACTTTTAGTACTAAAACTTCCGAGCCAGGATTCTCGAGAGAACAGTGCTTGAATTTGAAAGTTCTTCCTTTTTAAAAATATTTTAGCGTAGTATGACTAATTTTTCAAAACCACACAATAATCGATGGAGGGCTGCAATTAAAACTTTGTTGACTCCAAATACTAAATTCGCCGACCTCAAATAATGTTTTTGTCAACATTTTTTCCTTTAATAAGTAATACATTTGGTGCTTATAATATATAGGGAATATGTAATCACGTATTAAAATAAAAACAAACTAAAAATGTATAGGTTTTACTAAATTTAAAATAAAACTATCGGTATACTTAGAAGATTAAATTTCCTAGTTTGGGATACTAATCGCTATATCTGACTGAATAGATAATGAATAAAATATATATTGCATTGTTTATCTTCTTACCAATTTTTTGTTTCCAATAATTCCAAGCACTGCTATGAAACTAGAGCTTGAAATCGCTATCAAATTTAACGGTTTTGGTTTCGAATTTTAAATACATTTTTGAAATTTTTTGGTTTGAGAATTATTTTTGGTAAAATGGTGATGGTGGTGATGAAAATGGCGGATTTGAAATATGTTTAAAACTATGCCAGATGAGTGACAAATTATAGTCTAATTTACATTTCCCAAATATTGATCGATAAACTCGACTGGCAGATCAGGTAAACACTAATCCTGAATCTAGGGAAGGAGGGGGTTTGAATTTACAAATTGTACTTCCCGACCAAAATAAAATATATCTTAAATTGTAACAGAGTATTCATTTTTGTTTGCTATTATTATTAATTGGCATGTCATAGTAATATAATGTTATACTAATCTTGGCTATACATAATACTTAGATATATCGGTATACATAGAGAAAATAAACGTAAACATGTTATTCGGGTAGTTTTAGATTCTAAGTGTAACGAAGAATGTATTGGTTTTACAGAAATTTTTATTTTTTTTTTTCTATATTGTGTACAAAAATTCTTCCAGAAATCTTACTCCAAAGTATCGAGTATAGTAACTTTTCTGAAAGGGAATTTTCCTGAGGTGGTGCTTAATAAGGTAATTTTTTGTAAAATATATTACGGTCTTTTTTTTACCCTGTAAACAACTTTTCTACCAGAAATTTTGCTCCAATTTACATTGATAGTACTTTTTTGAAAGGAAATCTTACTGGGAAAGTACTTTGAGGAAGTCATATTTTGTTTTTCCCAGGAGTTTTCCCAATAAACGATATAAACGTGGTTAAAACCGGGAAAACCGGGAGAATGGACACAATATTAAACAAATATTATCAACGAAAATATATGATGCCTATTTAATAATTTCACCATAATTTGAAATAATATATATTGTTAAACTCCGCTCAGGATCGTTTTTAGTAACCAATCGTTTACCCCTGCTTACAGATATAAATTAATTTCCCTTTTATATCCTACCTTCGCAACTTCTCACCAACAACAGTGGCTGTGCCCATCATGTGAATATGCCCGTCTTTTTTAAAACATAATCTTTCTATTATTTTAAAAAAAAAAATATTGATCAAATCACTACTTATTATTGGTAGCTACGGCTCTGTGAATACTTAGATGAATCAATCCATTTAGTCGATATTCCCACATAGAATTCCCAAAATATTATTATTTTGTTTTGTTATGAAATCTGATATGATTGAGATGTTAATTAATATTTTATTCGCAAGGTTGTTTATTAACCAAGGAAGATTGATTCTTCTTAAATTGATTGGTTGGATAATTTGAAACCCAGGCCGGACTGGTATGGGTAAGGACAGGGAGCATGTATAATTTGTAAATGTAGATTTTGGTTAAGGTTGATAGAAAACTATTTTGGTTTATTATTGAGCCTAGAGTCTATGTAGATATTTAACTAATTATGACTATTCGATTTGAGTTTCTTTGATTCTTAGCTTTGGAGTACTTGATAATGATTTATTTGTGATGAAGATAGCTAATGTTTTAGATGGGTGAACGATAACACCAAACCATTTTTAAATATGAAAAACCGCACCTCAACCACGCGGTGTCAATAGCTGATGTATTGTTTTTGATCGTCATAGTAACTTACCGTCCAATCTGTATTCAAGGTACATTATGGCCTTTAATAAGACCTTTTTGACTTTTTTGTGTTTTGTCTCGTAACATCGGTTTAAAAATGTATTAGTCTCGGATTGAGTTTCGAGAAATGTTTTTAAAATTTGTTGATTTCGGTCTTAAGAACTGTTTTTTTTAAAGTGTTCGTTTTCATATTGGGTGTTAGAAAATGACAATATCGCAGTTTTAATCGTTTCTTCAAAACCAGGTTCGAGTCGTGCAAAAAATCAACTAAAGAATTTAAATTTGTACCAATTGTTCTAAATACCAATAATTGTATAATTTTCCCTGTTGAAAAGAACACCATAATATTTTGTAAATTATTTAGTGAAAATTTTGTTTTAGATGTATGATTTTGAACATAGGAATCCTAAGATGTCTACCTTTCTTCAACCAATGTGTGAATCACAAGTAAGTTTTTATATTATTAATACTATTTCTGTTATACATGTATAAACTATTCCTACTAGACGTACTAAGAAATTCTTAAGTATAACTTAGACATTTTATAATGAAATTAAAAACATTAAAATTGAAAATAAAAAAATTATTCTGACTGGAGTATTGATATTGAACAATTTCTGTAAATCGAAATACTGATAGTTTAACAGTAGGGTAGTGATACTTCATGTACTTACGTACGTTGAATTTTTGAAAGAGTGTGGACATTAAATAGTTTACTTAAATCCCTTTACAACATCAACACTATACATATATACAAAATCAAGAGGAAGGAATAAATACTGCACCATAATGATTTCGTTTATTGTCTTATGTATTATTATTGCTAACTTTTATTCTCAAATTAAATTTTCCTACGAGGCATGATTTTCATTTTACATTTGGGTCTAGATGTTTTAGAGGACAGTGTAGCTATAGTAAACAGAAAACATGGTCTAATTATTATTATTATCATTATTACTTTATGATAATTTTAAAATACAATTATTTCAAGGTTCGTGAATAACTTACGGGTTTGGGAAAAAATATAAAAATATATAAGACCGTTACATATAACTTTTGTTCTTATTGCGCTCGCATGTAAGTAATCCGTAGTTAGATATTCAATATTCGCATTTTCTGACCATTATTAATCACTGTTAAAGTTTCCCATTTATTAATTTTTTAATAACAAGAGATTATATTTAAATTATTATTGTACAAATTTTAACTTATATTTAGTTTTTTGTATTTTATCATACTATAATTTTTAATCTTGGCAAATCCACATATAAGTACCATGGTGAAATACTTACGGTATTTAATATACTGATTATACTCAACAATATCTATTTAATCGAAACCATACATTTTCATTTGATAAAAAAATTTTTTAGGCAAAAGTGATATATCCAGAAGCAGGTGTTGTTAAAAATAATAAATGGCGTTTTATTGTACAAGATCAAAATGCTATCAAACAAGGAATTCGAGTGGAAACGTGTTTGTATGTATATCAAAAATAATAACAAATATAAGTAAATTGTTATTTAAAAATCTGAAATAAACAAAATTATTTCCGTAGAAATGACGGAGGACCAAGCAAATTTAGCGATAGCCTGCCAATGGGCTACAAAACTACTTGTGTTCAAAAGTATATCTACAAGAAATTGATGGCCATTACAGAAGGGGAAGATATTTATTATGATACGTTTAAATTGCCATCGTGCTGTGCGTGCATGTACAGTTTCGACGAAAATTTATTACTTTAGAAATGAAGGGCAAATAAAATACAGGCGAACCGTAAAAAGTTATACATTTATAATCATATATTTTATTATTATTATGTTTCAATTATTTATTATTTATTTTATGCTTGTACAATATGTTTTCATTATCGAAGCATACGTCATACACAGATTATAATACAGTATACTATTTAAAATTTTATAATTTAATCCATAATGCATAAAATTAATATCTTAATAAAACTCTTATAATTACAATAGCTGTTATTGAAAATATCTGCATAATTATGATTAAATAAGATTTTTGAAATATTTCTTTAATAAGTAGTGTACACAGTAGTGTAACTGGATAAAAGTCTAGGGGAGGGCCAAAATAATTTATCCACCATAGTCAAAACCTTGAGCTCCTCTCGGATTAAATATATAGTGAATTTCGCTTAATGTGGCTACCGGTCAATGCGGACAGCCGCTTAATATTGGCATAACGGTCTGGTCCCGATTCTAATGTATAACGATACTCATTTCGGTTAAAATGGGCAACCGCTCAATGTAGGCAAATTCCACTGGTCCCGAAGCGCTCACGTTAAGCGGAATCCAGTGTATTAAAGTCTATTACTCTTTAAAAATATTAGAAGGAAAGTGAACAAAAATTGCCTCTCTAAGAGGCCAGACAATTAACTCAGAGAAGATTACCGATCTTATCTTCTACAACCGTGATTATAATTTAATAATTTACGGCTGCTCGATCTGTATAACAAAATGTTTAAATACAATATGTGTTGCATCTGGTGCGCCGTGTAAACACCCAAGGCGATTATAAATTATAACACGTTATGGTGAGCCCGATTCGACTGTTATCACACGTATTTTATTTATTTTTTTTTTTTTTCGAAACAAAAATATAGAAATGAACGTCCTAACAATTTGCTTATTGTGGCCACAAAGAATGTTTTGACTTTTATCGTAAATTCAGATAAAAATTTGTAGATGGAATATATAGGTACTTATTAAAACGCTGCACCCAATGAAATCAAATGACGAATTTTGGTCTCACTGGACAACTTTAATTTCATCTATGACAACCGAAATATTTAGTGGTAGAACTGGGCTCATCAGGTATTTTAAACGCCTTGCACACAACAGTAATATTAAATTGTCAGTTTTGATACTTATATATATTATGTATCGAGAACAATTTTTTATTTGACATATAGAAATTTGCGATTGACTGTAGTGATTACTAAAAACAACATATTATTTTACATATGTTTATATTCTTTGTTATAATAACAAAATATCAAACGATGAATCAGCAAATAAACTGTATAGTAATAAGAAGTTAAGGTCTCTCGTGAACCAGTCTATGATGACAGTATTTAAATAACAGAGTTATATCTATAGGAAATGACATTATAAAATAATCCACCGGAAAAATCTTAAAGTACCATTATAGGTACATTAAAATTAAATTTAAAGTCAAACATTTTAAAATGCCTTTTATTTTATCTCAATTGATTAGAATCAGAATAACATAGTACAGTACTCAAATAAAATGACCTAGAATAATAAGGACGGGTGCAGCCACTGTTATAGGTAATATTTTAATGTATAACTGTAAGCAATGATATAAACCATTGCTTACGTAAAAACGATTCTGAGTGGTATTTAAGTGTCAACTATATATAAGCCATATTGTAGTAAAATAATTAAATAGGCTCTATATATTTTCTTTAATAATATTTGTTTAGTTTTATATCGATTTTCAAGTTTTTCCCAGTTTCTGAAAAAATTCCAAGGAAAATGGAAAAACGATCTCTTTAAAGTACTTCCTCAGTAAAATTTCCTTTCAGAAACATTGGTATCATTAAAAGTTGGAACGAAATTGCTGGTAGAAAATTCCCCCCCCTCAAAAAAAAAAAAAGTACTGAGTAATATTTCGTAAATTTTCCCATTTTTTTTTTCGGTTTTTCATATATGATAAGAAAACTTTTAAGAAAATTGAAAAATGACCTCTTTAAAGTATTTCCTCACACCGATTTCCATTTAGAAAAGGTGCTACACGTAGAAATCCGAGAAAATCTTTTAGTAGAAACGCTGCGCACAGATAAAAAAATAAATTAATTAACATCTTTGTAAAATTATAAGTTTCTTCGCTCCACTCAGAATCTAAAACTATTTCATAATCTTAAATATTTACGGTACCTATTATTCAATTACCTAAATTTAAATCAAAATGTCATATTTTAACATCAATGTGGAATATCTATGCAAATATATTGGTTTTTTAAATTTCATAATGAGTGAAAATATTTTTGATAAGTACTAGGGACTGCTTTTAAATTCAAATAAAAGTGAATACTTTTGATTTATTAATTTTTGATTTTATTTTAAAAAATCATTTTAATTGCCTATTCGGAACTCTTTAATTATTGCGTGTGTGACGCTTAACCCATATTAATATAATATCACATAATGATGACTCGGTTCGATATCAAAGGACCAGATCAGTCTTGAAAGGACCGATCACCTTTTGCCGTTTTTGGCAGAGGTAGGCAATCGATTTGACTAACGCCGACTTTGGTACGAATAGGCAACTTAAAATGCTAGTCACTTCTCGAGCTCACTAGGCAGTTAGTGGAGGTAATTGCGCCGGTGGCAACAATCACAACAACGACAACGGCCGATCGATCGACCGGGATAGGTAATTGGTAATGAGTAGAGGAAGCAGATAATAATAATACACACCGGAATGAGGAAGTGCAGGTTAGTTAAATGTTAAGTTACAGTTACAATGTTAAACAGGCAAATTAACCATCGAAACACATCACGCCATCTATCCGCGTTTTGGACCACGTATGTCACGCAATATTCTACACCCAGATCGATTAAATCCTCGTCGAAAACGTTGATCCGCATTTTATATCGGGTCTACAACGGGGTCTCCTTTGCACTCGTCCTTACGCTGTAATTATACAAAATTTACATTATATTATTGCTCAGCCATTGTAGTATTTAAATATAGGAACAAAATAAACTAGGTTTATAATGTTATATGAGGTGCCTACAATACAAGCGGCATAAGTGACATTTTTAAAAAAATCTGAATTGAGAGCACAGCTAAACTAAAACCGTTCCAGTTTATTTTGCAGTAAAAAAAAATATAAGAAAATTATTCGTCGCGTGCCTGCGAGCTAGTTTCAAACATTAGATATCACTAAAATACTCTTCAAACGAAAATGTCATAACGGAATCGGAGTAAATGTGTACAGCAAGGGTCCACAACAGCTGTCCGTACACCTACGTCTGTTTACTGCCGCGCGGCCGAAATCTCTATCATTTGGATACAAGAACATGATGATACGCGATAATAATTATATTAAACACAAATAATTTATTTTAAACTTGGTTTCCTCGGAATCAATAAAACATCACGTTATGCCCCTTTTGTTCTATAGGCGCCTCGTATAATAATATATTACATGGTATTTTTGAAAAATCGATCTATGACGAATAAAACGAAGACTTTGAGTAATGGGCGATAATCATGAAACAAAAGGGAGGATTGTACGAAAACCGCAAAAGGCTACGTCGTATAGTGATGATAGTACATTATATTATGATAATTTATAGTGTAGACTACGGGGAGAGGCGATTTTGTGTCGGGTGCAATAATAATAACAATATCAATTATTTTTCTTCTTTTGAACAGCGTTCGTTTACGGCCGAAAATACAATTGTCGGACCTGAGTAATAAATCCAGAAAACAAGGGCGTGTACCAGCAGCACGGGGACGTCCGTCCGCGTTTCCGCAGAGGGGCGGGGTGAGGGGAGGGGAAATCGGCCGCGTTTATAATATTATTTCACAATATCGTTTTGATTGCTTATTTTGTACTGCTGGGAAATGAAATTAGTGGGTTTACTGCCACGCCTGTTGTTATTATTATTATTATTTATGTTTTTCCGTTAATGTCTACACGCTATGCGGTAACCTAATGCTTACGGTGAGCTTAATGCGATTTTCGTGGTTTTTTTTTTTTTTTTTTAGTATTCTTATTAGGTAGGTACAGGACCGACTATCGTTTTCACGGACTGGTAATAGTGGAATTCTCGTGTTTACGAATTCCGGAATAGAATATTTTTATTGTATAGCGTAATAGTGAATATTACAATATGATGACGCGTTAAAGTGTACGGTGTGCGATATTATATAATTGTATTTACATAATGGGCGAGTAAGAAAAAAAAAGAAAACCGGTACGACGGATCTACGAAACGACATTGTGTACTTTTACCTACCGTTTGTTTGTAATTTTTCTCATAAACTCGAAACGCTTCTTACGAAAATACAACGGATTACGCTTGAGTTGTGTTCAGATTGTTTTTTTTTTTTTTTTTTTTATTTATTTTTTTCTACTTTTAAAACAAACGAGAAACCGTCGAATTTTGCCGCTACGGACTACCCGGTACAGGCATTACAAGTATTTAAAATATCCGCGTAAATTAAAGGGAATTGGGTGATAGGAATAAACAACCGGAAAACTAATACGAAAGCCCGTGCGAACAAAACAAACCTTCAAAAAGAGCCAAAATGTTTTGAAAGCCGTACCAGGCGTGGATAATGTTTTTTACAGCATGTATTAGATGATTTTTTTTTTTTGTTTCTCGTCACTGCTAATATAATCCCATTTGAAAACGACAGAAATAGGTATTGGAAAACGATATTTAATTTTTTTCATCCGACAAAGCAATTGAACGGTTCCGACAACTCCACTATTTCAAATTGTTCAGGAAACGAAAAATAATGTTTTATGGAGTTGTCTGGTTTCTGGTGCAGAATTTTTCGTTAACTTTTATATGTCAATAACATTTGTTCCAATTTTGTTTATTTACATCCGATAAAATGCATCATTCTTCAGACATAAAATGAAAACAAATTAATATTAAGCTACTCTTATACCTATTAAAATAACGTTTTCCGGAGTAATCTCGTTTATGCACAGCATGTTTTGGAACAAGACAACTCCTAATGCGTTATATTTCTGAAACGGCTGGTGAGAATCGTCTCGTTCTTGCACAGAACTCTACGCGTCATTTTTACTTTCCTTTATCAGAAACCACCGTTATACCATTTTCGGAATAAAATCGAGCTGTCGGGTTTTTGCTTGGAACCGTTCAATTATTCAGACAATGCATTCCCTTCAATCAGCCCGATCGATACGGCGAAACGATAATAATAACTTAACTGAGCACAGATTTGAATTCGATTCGATCAAGATCGGTCGGGTCACTTTTTTCAAATTTGATTTTTGATTTTTAATTCTTTTTTTTGTTTCAAATCAAATTTTCGGAAATTAAATACTTGGCATCGCTTCGGTTTCTTTTACGATCGATGGTGTGTATTTACTGTTTGTTTTTTTTTTTTATTTTTTAAGTCGCTACATTCTTAATTGTTTGGAAAAAAAAACATAAGCTATTCAACAAGAAATATATTAAAAACTACAGGTAACAAAAATAACAATAAACGCGACCGGCGTTTTCAGTACTCGCGAAATTCGAATATTATTATCGTTATACTGCGAAAATGACGCAGCCATTATTTTTTTTTTTTTTTTTCGTGTCAGGCGCATAGTATAACAGTAATAATAATAATGATCATAACAGTATAACATAAATAAATAAATAAAATAGGTAAGTAACATTAATAAACAGTACATAATAAATAAATAAGGTTTGGCATTACACTAAATAACATAAATAAAATATAATGTTTGGTATGATATGGTAATACTGTTGAGGGTTTTAAGACGTTGTTAGTGGATTTATATTGTTTCGGCCCAGATGCGGGCCACGTTAATTCCTTGGTTTGTGCCTTTTTGGATGTCTTCTGGGGTGCACGTTTGAGAGCAAGCTGTGCATTTGATGATGTGTAACATTGTCTGTTCTTCTCCGCATAGACACAATGTGTCTGCGCTATCTAGCAGTCCCCATTTTATGAGATTATCTTTCGTTCGTCCTATTCCTGTCCTGAATCTGTTTAGTGTTCGCCAGACCGGCCATGTTTCATTATGACCAGGTGGAAGTGACTCATTCGGCACCCAGCTGGAAGTACTGCTTATCTCTTTTCTCCATCTGGTCGTCCTTTCTGTTTCAGGATGTGTTGACAAGATGGCTTTTGTATGGTTCATAAAACTCTTCCTGGACTTGAGACGAGATAGTTGTGGAGTTATACCGTACATGGGATATCGTGGGTCCGATGCTATTTTCGTTCTTTCCCAGTCTGCTTGCGTGGACCTTCTTATTGATGGAGGAGCTATTCCCGAAAGTATGTATAGTTGNCAACCGGTTATGAGTCGGCAAGACTCGTTTAGTGCAACATCGACTTTTTTAGTATGTAATGACCTACCCCATACTGGACTAGCATATTCTGACGCTGAAAAGCATAGAGCTAACGCCGTAGTTCTTAAGACGTGAGGATTACAGCCCCATGCGGAGCCACTAAGCTTCCGCAATATGCCATTTCTTTTCATTATTTTATGTTTGGTGTTTTCGCAATGGAATCTGTAGGTGAGAGATCGGTCTAGCGTTACTCCGAGGTATTTTGGACGTTGTGTGTTGGTGAGTTTTATCCCGTCCCAGTAGACGTTAAGAGTACGGCTGGCACATCGATTCCTCAAGTGAAAAGCACAGACTTGTGTTTTACTTGGGTTAGGTTTTAGGTAATTGCGCCTAAAATATTTTCCAAGAACGTTTAAGATTGCCGATAATTTTTCCTCTATATTTTCAAAATTGTCGTGTTGTACTACAATTGCTGTATAGTCTGCGTAAATATAGTGTTTTACGTCGCTATCTGTGGATATTGGTTGATCGTTTGTGTAGATGTTAAACATAGTAGGGGCTAGCACACTTCCTTGAGGGAGACAATTTTTGAAGATTCTAAGCCATTATTAAAACAGATCGTGATTGATTTATACGCTGACTGTCCCACTCATCGCGCGTGTATATAACAATACTATACAGAGTGATCCATTTAAGTAGATACAGTCGATAGTTAGGAAAGTATTTAGTTTTTTTCAATTTTGTTTTTTTTTTCTTTAGTATAGAAACAATAGTTGCTTCAAAATTAAACATAAACCTTTTTTTTATATTTTTTTATGTTTTTTGTCACTCTAATATTCGGGGATGAAACGAATACCCACTTTTGTTTGTATTTTTTGGAAAAATTGAGGTGTCAGAAAATAACGTAAATGTTAAATTTTAGAGCAGCTTGTTTCTTAAATTTTCAAAAAAAAAAAATAAAATAATAATAATAATAAATAAATAAATAAATACTTTCCGAGACATCGAGCGTGCTCGCTTAAACGGATCGCCTTGTGTATAAATAAAATCATCATCACTCTCTCGGCGCGTGCCGATTTTATCGGATTGGTTAACGTTTTCGCCGCGCGAGTGTATTGATTATTCGGAAACGTAAATATTATAACACGGTACAGCTGTGTTTATATGCATTAGCCATTTGAAATTGATTTTTTTTCTTTTTTTCCGCCCAACGGACCGTGAACGTACAACCGAGAAACTGTTATAGTTTCGGCTGAAACGTGTGGTGTTTTATTCGTTTCCCCCGGTAAATGTGGTTTTTCGGTTAGCATAAAATATGCGTTCCACATTGTTCGCTTGTAATAATTTCAAAAGAAGCGAATTTTTAGGGCCGGCAGTACATTCGATGTGAAACGTTTATTCTTTAGATAACCGCGCGACGGTTCTATTGAAAAATTAATGTAAAAAAAAAAAAAAAAAAACGACAACGAATTACGATACCCCGTGGTTTTTGATTTTTTTTTTTTCTTCGCATAATTTCCGACTTGTCCAGCGGCTTCATAATGCAGACTCGAAGAACAATTCTGATTTAATGCTCATTCATTCTTTGCAATCGTGCTAAAATGTTCGTTTAAATATAAACGAATACTATTTACTAGGATACTTGAATTCCGCGCACAGCGGACAATAATGCATTAGTTTTACTACGCATTATCGTGTTGCTGTTTTTTTTTTTTTTTGATTTGGTCAAATTCACGCGACAAAACAATTCTGGCGATTTTCGAGACGTTCCGATTTTATTTGTTTTTACATGCAAATAAAATTGTTTCGGCCGAGCAAAAATGCTTTGAAATTTAATACGAGGTTCGCCGTGAGTTTTGCTTAGAAATAAAAAAAAAAAAAAAACAAAATGTTAACTTAAGTAACACGTAGTATATGCTAGTTTATTGTACAGTTTAAAGTTTAGATTTTTATGGAAATGGTGAAAAATAACGGCATTCCAATTACTATCTATTCGATTTCGACCTGGCCAAAATAATTGTCGAACAAACGATTAAAACAGTACAAGATCCGGGTGAATATTGTGAGTTAATGATTTTTTTTATTTTTTTTGTTAAACGTTTTTGGCGTTGAATTCACAGCTGAAATAATGAATAACCGGGCAGAATCACGTGAAAAGTCGACACGGTCGGTTGGGTAAATTCTGCGAAACGGGTTTTCAATATTGCAAATTTTTATCTCGGTGATGGGGGTAGGGGAATAATCCGTGATCGTATTCTGCGGTAGTGACGCCGCGACCGAGTCAAGTACACGATAATAATATAGGCGTAATGATTAAACGAACATTGTCCGGTTATTGCGAGTCGTCAGCACGGACATGACGGGTGTTTTTTTTTTTTTGAAATTTTTTTTCGACGTCCGCTCGTCAGTATTAGAAAGCGACAACGCTCGCGAATCGTGATTGGCCGCGGTATATAAGCTCCGCGATATATTACCGTCGTTGTTGTCGACGCGGCGTTTTATAATCCTTTGCGTCGTTTTCGTTGTGCGGCGACCGTGCGTCTTTCACCGCGCAAAGGATTAACAATGCCATTGTAGCGAAACGGCGCGGGGGCTTTTGCGGGGGCACACGCCCGGGCCGCGCCGCGACAGCGGTGTAAACAACAACAACAATAATATTACAATAATTCACGCGGAGTGGGAAGTGTCAGAGAAACAGAACGGACACCCGCGGGGCGGCGAATCGAATCGCGCACGTTACCGGTATATCATTGTAAATACGTTTGATCGTCTCCGCACCCCACCCCCACCCCCCCACGGGTTCAAACGATATTACCGACCGTCTGCGGGTCCGCCGTTTAACCGGGCGGCCGCGGCGGAACTGGAAACGCCCGTGCGCGTCACGACGCGGACGGCACGGCAGAAGACAGTAAGTCGTAGGCTAGGTACACGACACTCTGTACTCCGCCGATTCGCCCCGCGTAACGTTACGACGACAAACGAACCGCGAATCGTCAGTTTCCCGATGGGACGGGCTTAAGAGCGGAACTCGCGCGCGTTTTAGAAAGAAAGAAAAAAAAAAAAAAACGGCAAAAATGAGTTCGCGGCATCGTTTTTTTTTTTTTTTTTTTAAATTTTCGACGGCGATCCTAAAATCAGTTCGTTTCAAAATCACATTTTTTTACTGTTTTTGTGTCTCTTCATTCAATCGGGGGAACGTAACGGTCTGTATCGGCATTGACCGGTAGTTCCGTTGGATCACGCGAGTTTTGATAGCTGAAGCCTATTTGTTTAAACCGACCGACCGCTGTTTTGCTTTTAGCCAACTCGAATAAATTACGAACGCTACGAAATCCGGCTAGGTAGAGCGCTGAGAATTTTTTTTTTCAAACCTCGTGTCAAATAATCGGTTTATCTCGCAAATGGCAAAATCAATGCTTCAAGACCCAGATAATGTCGTTGGTTTCAACGTTATCATAACGAGCGGATTGTTCATCGTTTCAATTCGATTTTATAATATGGTACTTATACCCGTGACAAAACAAAGACACGTATATATTGCCTATGCGCAACCCCTTAAATATTGTTAGTGCGATATTTTAAAATCATTTTTCGTGAAACAGTTAAAAAATATATTGTTTTTCGTACTGTTTAAAAATATCCCCGTGTATTCCGTATCGAATTGTTTGCCCTTACTGTTAAATATTAGCATACATGCATTTTTACGGTCTCGCTGTAATCTATTACTCAATTCAACGTTCGGATCTTTTTTTTTTTTTTTCCATTAAAAACTACATATCTTTACTTTTCAGAACATAGTTATTTAACTAGTAATCTTAGTTATTTTAATTGAATTTTCGAATTTTCATAACGTTTCAGACATTTACTTACACAATATTTCAAATATATGAACTTGTTTAAAACGTTTTAAACAAACGTTTAGAATACTTCGCAACTATGTTGGTACATAATACACTGATTTTTAAAATGCATACGTTTATGTAATTTTAGACTAGAATGTAAAGGAAAAAGACGAAAATTATTTATTTAAAAAAACTGCCGAAAATTGACTTGAGCCGTTCTTGCCTGGGACGAAAGATTTAATTTGTCAATTCTGACGTGAATATAAAAATAAAAATTGAATTAAAAAAAAACAAAACAAAAGTAAATACATTTATAAAAAAAAGACCCGACACCGCCACTAGGAATAAGGTTCTCGCGTTTGATACGGACGTCGTCAATTTAATATAATAATATTATTTTTGTGATTAAAACGTTTGCGTTTCAAACGGATCGAATCGTGTGGTCGGAAACCGCATCACGAGCAGCTGCACAGGCACAGATGGGTTGTATTAATATATTACATTTAATAATTTTAAGTTTAGATGTATACAAAAAAAAAAAAAAAAACGCACATCCTCGCGCCCCTCGAGTACTGCAGGGCGCCGTTTTGGAGGGAGTGTGGCGAGAGCCAGTCTTAGTATTGTACTGCACGGTGTTGTTATACCGCGGGCTATTGAATTGAATCATCTCGCTCGATAAAAGCGTTTAAAATCTAAAACGGATTTCCACTCCAATAACAACTGAATTTTTTTTTTTCAGTTTTCGTATAGGTAATCGTTATCCGGACGGTACAGCGAAAAATCGAGAAAATTATTCGAACTCGCATTTATACAGTATAAAACCGAAAGCACTCGTAAAGCATTTTTTGTCATTTGAGTACGGGTGAGAGACTGGAGTTGCCGGAGTGTCGCACTTATCGAACCACTTAATAAAACTATGATACTTTGTTTTTCTCTTTAAAAAATTGTATTTTTTTTATGCGTGTCGCGTAAATATTCCTGTTTAGACGGGTTTCACCGGTTTTCAT